AAATTTAAATTTTATTGGGCTGTTGTTACTGAAAAAAACATCAAATTGTGTGTATAGAAAGGGACCGTCCCTTTGCGCTCAAATTCTGAACGAAAAATCGGCTTTTTCTCCGGCCACAGATGTCTTTAAAAAGTAAGACTATTACCGATGAATAGCTGATAGGCTGTTTAGTTTACCCTGAAATTACCCAAATAAGTGAACGGTCCCTTTAAACAGAGATTACAACTTTATATATAGTATACCTTTAGTTTTCTGATTTGTCGTTTGCTTAGCCTTTGGTTTAAGTGAGGGGTATTTAACCCGGGATTTAGCCTAAATTTTCATTAAATTTTATTATGTTAATTGTATTATTTTTTATTTAAGTTTTTCAGTACAAATATTCTTTCAGGGTTACACACAAAGGATGAGACTTCAGAGACGATTGTACGGAATTTATCTCGTCCCTTTTCTTACATTCAGGATGCCTTGCAGGTCAGAATTGGTTTATTTTCGTGCTCAATCACTAAAAATACTAAATTGAAGGCATAAACCAACTATAGAGCTTCAAATCATCATGTTTTGTGTCGTTTTTACAGTCTCATCCTTTGTGGGTAACCCTGTATATGATAAAAAGTGTTCTAGAAAGTTTCACAGTGATTTTAAGAAACTGTTGAAATAAGGGTACTTTTCAAATAATTTTGGGTCTCTAAAACTGTAGTCTACTTTGAATTACGTTTAATTATGATAATTCAAAATATTTGTATGATACCTGTCCCGTGTATGATTTTTCCTTGGGTTGTTTAGTCATCGGATTGTCTGGTGTACACATTTTCTGATGAGAATTCAAGGATTTAGGCAGAAACGTTCTAAACCATAGAGCCTTGTTAATCTGCATATATAAATCAGAGGTCAAAACTTTTGAATCTGCTCAGAACGCGCTTAGTCGCTTATTTAAGCTGTCGAACACGGCCACCCCTTTTTTATCATTTTAGAATTATCTCATGGAGATTTCTTCTTATAAAGATAGCAGACCAGGGATATAAAGTTAGTAAACCAGGGATATAAAGATATTAAACCAAGAATATAAAGATAGAATACCAGGGACATAAAGATAGTAAACCAGGGATATAAAGATAGTAAACCAGGGATATAAAGATATTAAACCAAGAATATAAAGATAGAATACCAGGGATATAAAGTTAGTAAAACAGGGATATAGATAGTAAACCATAGATATAAAGATAGTAAAACAGGGATATAAAGTTATTAAACCATGGATATAAAGACAATAAACCAGGGATATAAAGATAGTAAAACAGGGATATAAAGTAAGTAAACCAGGGATATAAAGTAAGTAAAACAGGGATATAAAGTTTGTAAAACAGGCTTAAAAATACAAAGCAGTCAGCAATTGTTTTCATGTTTTATAATAGAGTATATGAACTAAGTGCTAGGACTAGAACTTGAATATATAAGTGTGTGTGTAATAATATTCATTAATCTTGTAAATTGTATATTTACATCATTAAATACATACGTTTCTTTAATCACGTGTATTCATGAGTTTAGTTAATTGGTCTCCTGTACATACATTAAGGAAAAGCAGCAAAATACAGCAGTAATGAAACATCTAGACACTAAATTAATTCCAATATAATTAAATATATATAATTGATTACTGCGGAAAGTCTGGACTGTTTAGTGTGTAAGCTTGTTTAAGAAAATAACATTTACATAAGATTATTAACATAATCGTCTATCTTTATGAATATAGAATTAAAAATATAATGGGAAACAATGTACAGTTCTTCCAATTATAAAACCTGCTTAAACTCGAGAAACTTAATTTAACTTAAGTGACCCTCCTTGACTCTCCTTGACCCTTCTTGACCCTCCTTGACCCTCTTTGACTCTCCTTGACCCTCCTTGACCCTCCTTGACCCTCCTTGACCCTCCTTGACCCTCCTTGACCCTCTATGCAAAGATGGCAATACCCAATTCATCTGTTAAACCTTTACATGATCAATAATGTGAAAGATGTTGTCGTTTTCTAGGTTTAAAAGTGTTAAATTGTAATAGTTCCTGTATGAATTCTTGTTGTAGAAATGCGCAAGTCCCTTTTGTAGTGAAACCACAATTAAAATATTTAACTTGAATCTATACTTGTATTTTGTTCCTTTTTTATGATTTCTTTAGATAAGATTAGTCTTTCTTCGTCGTACAATCCAAATTAAAAATTTTGCGGAATTTCTTATCTTTGGTTAATTTTCAAAATGCGAAAATTGAAAAAAAGATAGATAGATAGATAGGCCTAACCTTGAACAGTTTTCACAAGGTTGCAGTGCTTGATCGTTATAATCCTCGAAAGCTTGTTGGTTCATCCGTTGCAGAGCTTTTCCTTTCAGCTCACCGGAGAGAACCTGTATAGTACTCTCACTTTAAAGTTTTAATAAATTAATCCTTGGGGCAAACTTTAATTGTCAAATCCCTTTATCTTTGCAACCTGGTGGTGTAAGCCATTAATATTAGAAATTTAGACTTTTTATATAACAGAATAAGTAAGTTTGCAGTATCCAAGGTCTACTACATTGGATTGCAAAGATATAGAAATAACAAAATCAGAGTTAGTGACAAAGACTCAATATCCATGTAAGAAAGCTTGGTTTCTGGCAAAAACGCTATGATTAGCTTGTGTTTCTACGTCCAAGAATTCAAATAGGCATTTTTATATGAAACCTCTCAGTGTAGTTTCTAAACCTTTTTATCTCACTTTTATACTTGCCTTCACGACATTGAATTGGTTTAATTCAGGGGACACTACCTTCTCAAATTCTTCCGGAGCTTTTGGACATTCTCTTCTCTGAGATTTTGGAAGTTTGTCTTGTTCAATATCCCATTTCTTCTGGCAGGACGGAATATGGATTTTTATACTCCGGGTTCCAAAATCTCTCCCGCAAATATAACAGGTGACAGGCATTTTTTAGTCTAGGGTGTGTTAAGTAGAAGTTTGGTAATATTTAGGATAAAAGACCGCAGCACTGCCACTGTCCACTAAACCCCAACGGTCAGTGTACTGCAAATCACTGCAGTACACAGCAAAAGCTTAGCTCAAGGTGGCAGAATAGTAAATAGGCTTGATATATGTCTATGTAGTCAATTTCAGATTAACCAAACCAAAACTGCGGTCCAATTAGAACATGGATTAAGAAAAGCATAAACGTGGCAGATCTACGAAGTAGATAAGTAGGACAATATATATCCTGGTGTAAGAAAAGTAGTCTGCAGGACAGAATGATTTAAGAAGTGAGTTGAGTTAAACGAAACGAATCTGTTAGTAAAGTTATAGTGGTAGTCCAGTTTTAACCTAGAGCAAGAACAGCATCACTCTGGAATATCAAGGATCCAGGTATTGATCCGGGAGTAAGAGATGCAGGACAGGAAGGACAAAAAAGTAAGATGAGTTGGACGGTTTGGATAAATGAGTAAGAGGAGTAGGGTGGGTTCGATTTAAGAGAAAGATGAGTAGGTATAGGATCTATAATTAAGATTGGTAGGCCGGGATGAATCTTGGAGTAAGATGAGTAGGACGGATTGAATACAAAAGTAGGATAACTAAGGATTAAGTGGGTTGGATTCATTAATAAGATGAGTTTGTTGGTTTGGATCAAGGAGTAAGATAAGTTGGACGGAATAGATTTGTGGTTAAACTGCTGCCTGAGAATTTGATTCAACTGTAAATAATAAATGAAACAAAGTTACGTCATTTAATGGGACTTTTTCTTGTCCAATTTTAAATTAAAAAAGGAGTTCAAACTGGATTTGGTTCATAGAGTAATCAGTCCAAAAGTTTCATGGTTTTTATTTGTTTTATTTTCATGTATTGCAGATCTTCTCTTTAAATAAAATCACGATGTTGTTGGCAAAAATCAGCTGATCTAGATCTAACACTGAGGGTATATTTTTAGTCATGATTATTAGAAAACACAATAAAATGCAAATCAAAGTTGTAAAATCTAAACAATCAAAAATTCCAAAAACTTTTTAAACGATTCTAGTGAATGTCGCAGAAAAATTGTTGCTTTCGACTTTTCAGCATGTTATTTTCAAATAAAGGTCTTAATTTAAACTTGGATTTTATACAGTGATATCAAAAAAAACTGTAGAATAGGAAGACGACAATTTTGCAATGCTGAAGTGCATTTGGTATTTGTTTCAACTCAAATAGCTTTATTAGAAAGTTTCTAAATCACTTTTATGTAAAATAGGCATGTTTACACTGCACAATTGAGCTGTGCTTCATGTTCATTAAACTATTTAAAGTCATAATTTGAGCTTAAAAGTCGACTTCCTATTCCAGAGTTTTCTGGTTATCACAGTACTTAGTGAATGAACGGAAAAATGTTAATTCTACTCTCCTTACTTGACCGACTGTTCAAAGATTTGACTGATTTTTCAACAATTTGACCGATTTCTCAAACATTTCAGCGATTTCTCAAAGATTTCACCGATTTAAAAGATCGCTCTTATATATACATTCATGGATTACATATAGTTTATATAACTTTCACTCTTGATGTAATATTATTGTGTACACTACCACTTCTAGACCTTGTCTTTTATATCATATACAATGCATTGTACATAGTAGTGAGCTTGGATACATTTAAATGTTTTGATATCTCAGATCTGATATCTGTGGAGAACNCCCCCCCCCTCCCCTCCTCATGCACTGCCCAAGCCTCAACCCAACTCTGACTCATCCTAAAAAACCCGTTCAGTACATTCATCTATTCATTCATTTAGACTTATTCATCAATACATTTATTCATCCACTATACTTATTCATTCATTGATTCACCCTATAGACTCGCTCATTCATCCTTTCATCTTTTATAATTCATCATTGTTTTATCTGTAGAAAGTATCGCAGGGAGGAATATATTTGAATACTTTAACTCAGTTTCTTCATCAGATTTACACAGTGAAAATGTACAAATATCGGAACTTTTGTGTAGGTATTGTTTATCTCGATATCCAATGTGAGCACTTTTGAATAATATCATCCATGCTTGATCCCTTATTTAAAGTTATCCCTTCAGGGCATGATTAAAGAGTATGACCGTCAACGGATATTAAAGAGGAATTAATTAATCCGTAGATCTACATGAGATGCAGATCAATGCTTGATCCTGAGATTCACAAGACAAAGGTTTATCCGTAGATCTACATGAGATGCAGATCAATGCTTGATCCTGAGATTTACAACACAAAGGTTTATCCGTAGATCTACATGAGATGCAGATCATTGCTTGATCCAGAGATTCACAACGCAAAGGTTAATCCTTAAATCTACATGAGATGCAGATCAATGCTTGATCCTGAGATTCACAACACAAAGGTTTATCCGTAGATCTACATGAGATGCAGATTAATGCTTGATCCAGAGATTCACAACACATAGGTTTATCTGTACAAATAGAGATAAATATGAACCCCATTTGCTTTGTCTACAAAAGTATGCTGAAATTTCTTTGTGGAATATGAAAAGCAACAAGTTTGTTAAAAAAATTCTCCAAAAATTACACTTCCTTTACTTTAAATTGTTGTTGTTATATTTACAAAAGAATGTTTAACTAACGAATAGTCAAATTAAAAGGAATTTGGATATTTCTTTAAATAAAATTAATGATAAATATACGCCCAGTAAGTGTATACGTAATTATTTAGTATTTTAGTAATGTACAGCAATCAACTTTGTAATTTTTAACTAGAAAATATAAAGAATCTCTTAAACTTCCCACAGATTAAATTTTACACATGAAAGAAAACATCCAGTAGCTGCTGGGTGGGTTTGATTATAGAATTACAGGGTGGCCCAATAACATTAGAATTAAGAAATGACTTGAAAATCGTCTACGATTTTAGAAAATTAATAAATAAAGGACAAAGCGTCTATCTAAATAAAGATTATACTTTATATGAGCTTTCCAAAATGTGGTCTGCCTTCTTTGTATCTTCACGGATACATTGAACATTTGAACGATTTGTTTGTTATTTAATTAATTGGAATCTGGACAGATCTATTAATATATATTTAGAAGGTTCAAAAATGGTAAACCATATTTTCGAATTCCTAAGACTAGTAAATTATTAGATACTATTAAAATTGTATTCACGTAATTATGCCGCGGTGAAAAAGACGAAATAAAAGTTGTCATTTTATTACCATTTACTTGGACACCCTGTAGATGGTAACTTTTGAATAGACAGAACTAGTTAAACTTATTCTCTCAACGCTTGAAGATTATCCAAAATCTGATTTGTTAACTTGGTTTAAAGTTTTATAAGTTATAGAAATTAAACAAATATAAATTATTAAAGCTTTTTAATTGGCTTAGTGTATAAAATTTTGCAGATCCAACGCTTCATCGAAATGTGAAATGAAAATTGAAAAAAAAACATATTAAATGTCCCAATTCCCCCAAATATTAATTTTTTCTACAGTTAAGTTCAAATATAAAGAGACATCGGAAGAATTTATATAATGTCGTATTCTGAACTTCCTGATAATATATATTTAAATTTTAATTAAATGATCATATGTAGCTCTTTAAAACTGTTCCCGCACATTAATGGCTATTTATTTATTTTTGCAATTACTGAGATTTACGTCTAATAGTAAAAAACCCATTGAAAAATTGTCATGACGACATTTCATAAATTCTTTTGGTGGCTCAAAATCTGTACGTAACATTAGATTTTCAGGCCTTCGTTTTTTTCAATTATTTATTGAAATTAGACATTTTATTTTATATTTATCATTGTAAGAAAAGACAATAAAAAATATCTTCTATCTATCTATGTATCCAGAGATAAAAGTAATTATAATATGAAAATATTTAGATATTCTTAAACAATATTTTTATGTATATAAAAACAAGGAATATATAATATATACTTGTTTCTTCTTTATGATTTGTCAAAGCATAAAAAGTTTAAGTTTCTGGACAATTAGTTTCTAATTAGGAAACATGGATCACAACAAACTTAGAGCTATCTGGCTTCAAGTTGTCAAACTTGTAATAAATGATAAAAATATATTTTCTTTCAGAGTTTTCTATACTTGGCTTTCATAAAAGCATTTGACATCTACAGGGTGAACCACAAAGGATGAGAACCTGGTTAATGTTATCCTATCCCCGATTGGCCTATTTTTGTATAATATAGATGGGGGGGGTAGGGAGGGGATTCCATTATGATTTTGCCCTGAGAGTTGAGAGATAGGGAAGTTAATATGTTAATAGTCCAACTTTTTAAGGTCAGTTCATTAAAAAAAAATTAGACCTAAGACTTTAATGGAGGCTTTTAAAAATCCAAACATATTTGAATATTTTTTTGAAAATAATCATTTTTATTTTTGAAAATTATTAACATGTGACGCATATGTTTCTACGTCCATTTCTCAAGGGCATTTTTAATAAGTAAATTTTATATTTATAGCTTCAAAAATTTAAAAAAAAGTTATGGACTATTTTTGATTTTTTGAAACACCAAAGAACTGTTTTCTGCAATTATCATTAAAAAGAGTCACAAAGAGCCTCTAAACGCCAACGTTGCTGAATGGCTAACTTATTACTGTTGAAAATATAAACAAAAATATTTTCAAAATCATCACGCGTTATGAACATTGATAAAAGTTTTGGTCATTTTTATTCTTTGGGGGTAGAAATAAAGTCATGCTAAACTATTTGATAAGAAATTATTATTAGATATTATTTATAAATCTTGGTTTGTCTTTAATCATGGAAACCTTCTATATAATTTGAGATTTTTAGTTTGGTATACAGAGCAGTGATTGTCTCTGTTTTAAAAGTACAGTCCTTAAAACCTATTTGATCAAAAACCTGGTCACTTTTCATCACTTTTTATCCTTCTTATTCATTTTTATCACTTTTCATCACTTTTCATCACTTTTCATCCCTTTTCATCACTTTTCATCCCTTTTCATCACTTTTATCCTTTTTATTCCTTCTTATCACTTTTTATCACTTTTTATCACTTTTCATTACTTATCAAAATTATAATTTTTTAAATTCACAAACTACATACTTTAAAATTCTACGTAAAATAAGCGAATTTTTTCTTGGGAATCACTTGTAAAGCAACAGAAACCTGATAGAAAAACAAATAGTTTTTAAGAACAAATTTTCCCATTTATTTGTTTCTAAACCAAAATAAAAAATGTACATTCAATTTAATTTCTTGGAATAGGGAAAAACAATGTGAAAAAGATTTTAAACATTGACTTTTAGGTTCCAGGAAAATTTCAGCTTTTTTACTAGAAGATTTACTCAAAAAGGATGAACCTTCACTAATACAGTATAATGTAGGGTTATCTACAAAGGATGAACTTTCACTAATACAGTATAATGTATGATTATCTACAAAGGATGAACCTTCACTAATGCAGTATAATGTAGGGTTATCTACAAAGGATGAACCTTCACTAATACAGTATAATGTAGGGTTATCTACAAAGGATGAACCTTCACTAATACAGTATAATGTAGGGTTATCTACAAAGGATGAACCTTCACTAATACAGTATAATGTAGGGTTATCTACAAAGGATGAACCTTCACTATTACAGTATAATGTAGGGTTATCTACAAAGGATAAATTTTTAAAGATGACGTTTCAGAAAAATATGATAATCTATGATTTAAAGGTTTAAAGGTTAAATTCTAAACAGAAATCAAGTCAAATAAATAATAATGAACAAACTCTGAAACTCTTTACTGTTGTCTCATGAATTTATTTTTTCTATAAAATGTCCTATATATGAAATGTCCTGTCTATGAAATGTCCTGTCTATGAAATTTCCTGTCCATGAAATGTCCTATCTATGAATTTTCCTGTCTACGAATTGTCCTATCTATGAAATGTCCTGTCCATGAAATGTCCTATCTATGAAATGTACTATCTATGAAATGTCCTATCTATGAAATGTCCTGTCTATGAAATGTCCTGTCCATGAAATGTCCTATCTATGAAATGTCCTATCTATGAAATGTCCTGTCTATGAAATGTCCTATCTATGAAATGTCCTGTCTATGAAATGTCTTGTTTATAAAATGTCCTATCTATGATTTTGTTATCTATGAAATGTCCTATCTATGAAATGTCCTGTCCATAAAATGTCTATAATGTTATATCTATATCTATTTTGTTATCTATGAAATGACCCAACAACATATGTTTCCCTTTAGACCTCTGTAGATTTGAAGTCCAAAACTGTTGATTAAAAATAGTTCAGTTCAAATATATTTACTATACAGGGTGTTTATTTCTTTATTTCGTTAAAAGAAAGATAAAAATAAATATAACAAATCGTCCCGTATATTTCTTCTCATAACTATACATTTGCGAAATAATTCTGGGTTGACTAGAATGGAGGTACTTTTGAGAAACCGATGTGAACAGTCATGGAGACAACAAAGATCTTTTTAAAATGTACAGGGTGTCCCAAAAAAACACGGGGAATAAGGTTCTGCAGACTCGTTTGAAGTTGGATTTTCAAGATTGAGGCAATTTTTAAAATCTAAGTACAATTTCCTTTTCAATAAGATCAATTTTAGGCTTGTTGAGCTGAAAATAACAATTTTAAATGCTCCTAAAGTTTCCAACTGGAGTGAGTAAATTTGGTAAAATAAAGATAATCTCCGTTTGCACAATGTTTTTTTAATCGGATTTTTAAGATTGAGGTGATTTTAAAGTCTAAGTACAATTTCCGATTTAATGAGCTCAATTTTAGGCCTGTAGACATAAAGTTTTTATAGGCTCCTAAAGTTTTCAACTGGAGCGAGTAAAAAGATAATCTCCGTCTGCACAATTTTGTATTCAATGTTAGGTTACAGTTTATTACACCACCATTAGCAGCAAGATAATTTGATCCCTTGATCCAACTTCATGAATAGTATTTTGAGAGACAGCAGGGTCCAGGGCTGCTATTTCTCTCCTGATGTTGACTTCAAGTTCGTGAAGTGAAACTTTTAAAGCCTATAAAATTGTTATTTTCAAATCTACAATTCTAAAATTGGACTCATTAATTCGGAAATTGAACTATATTAAAAATGGTCTCAGTCTTGAAAATCCGATTACAAACGAGTCTGCAGTAGACCTTTATTCCCTGTTTTTTTAAACACCCTGTACATTTGCATATCTGTAATAATACTTTTACATACTATAAATGTTGATTTTTACGTCAATTTATATGTTTTAAAAAAGACATTTTTTTCCAAAATATGCTTTTTTTGGTATGGAGAGAAGAGATTTGTAGGATTATCCATTATTTTTTAATAGTTTCGCAAATGTATAGTTTTCAAAAAGCATCTTTATTTAATGAAAATAAGATATATGGTTAGAAATAGATTTCATCAGGTATATCAGAGCTGGTTTTTTTTAACAATGTGGGCTGATATTTTGATGAAATAGTTGAGGCCCATGGTAGAAATAATATGATTAGTAAAGTTATCTTGGTATTTGTATTTCACACGTCTCAGTTACATACAGTGAAACCCTTAATAACGAATACATCGGAAGAATTTATCAAATGTCGTCTTGACAGTTTTTCAATGAGTTTTATACTGTATTACGCAAATTTCAGTATTTGCGAAAATAAATAAATAGCCATGAATATGCGGGAACAGTTTTAAAGAGTTCCATATAATCATTTAATTAAAAACTAAATATCTGCAACATTCCATTATCAGAAAGTGAAGAATACGACATTTGATAAATTCTATCGATGTATTCGTTATTAAGGGTTTCACTTTATGAAAAATAGGTAAAAATAGGTAGGGAAAATACATTTACATCAGGAGTCTTTTGAACAAAATGATCAAAAACCATATCTTTGCAACCTGATGATGTAAACCTTTAATATTTCAAACTTTGACTATTTGATCTACCAAATTTTATAATTTAAAAAAATCAAAGGTCTGCGATATCATCTTGAAAAGATATTAGGACTGGAAAATTTGGTGCTGAGTAATTAATTTCTTTCTTAGATGTAAAACGGCGTCCTTTGGACAAATTTTTAAATTTGAAAAAAACAATCATTTTTTTGGAAAACCATTTATCTTCGTTCCTCATAGTTTTTTTGTCGTATCTCTGTTCCAGACTATTTTGGTGACAATTCTTTTATAACAATGAATAGAAAAGAGTAGGATGTTAATTTAGAGAAAATGGTAACAAATAGTGGGCCGGCTCACCAACTTAAGTTTAAAAACAATACCAAGATGTTTACTTATTATTTAATTTACCCCATAAAGACACATCATTTTGCATATACTGAGTTTCACAGATTTGAGAGAGATAAGTAAATGTTTACACCAACTTTTGAATTCAAGAATAATTAATATATCACAAAAATTATCATGCAAAACGGTCCATACTCTGTATACACTATATCACAGCAATATAAACAGCTATGCAAATTATGCAACAACTATTGAGACCGGGCTAGCTTTTCTTGACCCATAGTTTTACCTCATACTCTTTGATGCCATGCATATAAAGATTTTAAAGTTTAAAGTTTCAGCTTCTTCAGTTTTAAAGAAGTTTCCAAATCCTTGGTTATGCCAACATATTTTAGTTTATAGTTCATAGCATCCATGTTTGTTTCAGAATGAATAGTTTGCGGCATTTAAGTGCAGTCGTCTTCATCACCGGTTGGATCTCCAGAGTTTGATGTGAACCTTTCTTCGCACAGATAATCTTAAAGAGGAAAAGATCAATCTTTTTTACCATTCTCTTAGAAAGTGGCATGTCTGATTTAAACGGTACCCTTTAAAACTTTATCAGAATATCAATGAGGAAGATATCTTCGGGTTTCTTTCTTGAAACTATTCTAAATTCTCACAATTTCATTAATTGTCTCTGCAACATAAATCCGAAAGTCACTCTCACAGAGAAACTACAATTGGAAACAACTATTTTCAGTCAAAACTATTTTTTTATCACATTCTAGATCAGAGAAAGATTTACAGGGTAGCGTAGTGATTCGGAAATGCCACTTAACAAATTCTAAGCCCTTTTAGGTAAGATATCAAGTGCCTTAATTTCTATTAATAATGATAATTATAAACTAAATATACTATTTTTAGTTGTTAAAATCCTCTGGTCTCAAATTTTCAACTTTATATTTATTTTTAGATGCCTGCATTGAAAGCATAAATAATTCAAGACAAAATTTTGGAATAGAAAACTTTTTGAAATTTGAGAAACAGAAGCAATTGTAAAATTTTAAATAAAAAATTAATAAAAAACTTTTATAAAATATTTGAAAAATTTAGATAAGCTTGTTTTAAACCTCTCCCTGGTATTCTCAATCTGTTTCTGTTTATTCATCAATCTAAAAACCAGAATATTCAATATTTACAAAATTTAAGTTTTTATGAATTCTAATATATAATACTAGCTAATACTAGCATATATAATACTAGTTTGAGATCCCATGCGTTCCCTAGGTACTCAACTCATACTTACTCCCGCCGTTTACCCTCGCTTAGTTGTAAATTTTGAATTTAGCTTTTTTCCCTAAAAGTAAACCCATTCATCTTAGAACCTCAAAACCAAGCTAACAACATGACCGTAATTATCCCGAGCTCCCAAATCAAATTTTAAGGCAAGTCGGTCAAGGTGTTCATGAGTTATGATCGGACATACAAACACAGACAAATTTATATATAGAAGATATAAATTGTTTTCCTCAAAACTTTTCTCCGCATTAAATGAGATAAAATATGTTATTTGAATGATTTGGACCAGACATAATATTAAATGTATGTAAATACACAGAATATCATTTATCATTAAGAACCTCATATCCTTGGGGAGAAATTTACCAAGTCTACTCATAATAAATGTGAGAAGCTAAAAGGAATAGTTTCTAAAAATAAAGTGGAAAGCCAAAAAAAAGAAAGATTAGCTTAGCGTGTTTTTTTCAAAACTCTATAAACGTTTGCAGGGTTCTTTCTGGTAGAATTAATCAGCAAATATTAACTCTTCTTTACTTCAAGGGAGTTATTAAAATCTAAAATTGAATGAAACAATTATCACAAAATCCGTCAAGTCAAAATCTGATAAAAAATGGCAATATGGAAATTTGTTATTCAAAATTTTATTCTTAATAAGGAGAATTTAATATTTCTCAAGATTTGGTGCAGATTTGCACTAATATTCTTTAGCAAATTTTTTTGTTTTATTTTTTTTTCATTTGCAGAGAGATTTTCATAAAATTTTGGACCAGCGTATTATAAAAATTTACCAATTTATTTCTGAAAAATAAAAAAAAATTTACGAAAAACGTTACTTGGATTTCCTTAAATTAAAAATTATTTTTGCATTTTGATGATTACATTTAACTAAAACATGAACCCTACAAAGTTATATTTATTTATATAATGATAATCCCGTTTTTAACTAGTCCTGAATGTATGTAAACTACAGGATAAATTAAACTTCTCAGATCCTTTTTTAACAATCAGTAAAACAAATGATTATTTCCAACTTTTCCTACTAACTACCTACTACGAATTCTATTTTCCTACTAACTACCTACTACGAATTCTATTTTCCTACTAACTACCTACTACGAATTCTATTTTCCTACTAACTACCTACTACGAATTCTATTTTCCTACTAACTACCTACTACGAATTCTATTTTCCTACTAACTACCTACTACGAATTCTATTTTGTCTTTGTTCCAAGCGGGATTATTTCGTAAACATAATTGTGTAGCTAGTATCACATTTAAAACATTTAGCACCGAAAACTACTTCTAGACTCGTGATTTCCTACATGTGGCCTACCTTTTTTTATTTGGAAATTCGTTCATATTCCAGTTTATTAAAAATTAACAAAGCTGTTCAAATGTTTAATATAAACGTCAATTTTAAAGATACAAAGACGGTAGACCACAATTTGGAGAGCTCATTTACTTTCAGTCCTTTTATGATGCCCTTGATGTCATTTATCAATTATAGGAAATCAAAGACGATATTTGACTCGTCTCTCAATTCCTATGTTTAATTGGACACTCTGTATATAGTACAAGCAAGCTATGCTGGATTTTTTTCAGTCTTTTTTCTAAAATGTATGGTTCCCTGTAAACTTTTTTTTCTTTGCCAAATTTTGTAATAAGCAATTAATGAACTATTCTGAAGGCACAAAGCCAAGTTCAACCTTCAAATAATTACATTGAACGAGTTTAAAACCGTTTTTAATGTCTCGTCCTTTATGGGTAAACGGTGCTATTGAACGTTAGAACAGTTTAGTTGATTTTAAATTAAATGGAATCTGGACGAATTTCCTAATATCTCCGTCAACTTTGAAGAAGAAAAAATGGTAGACCACATTTTGGAAATCCCGGGATTACAAGTTTTCGTAGACCTCAGATTGAAACAAAATAGTTTTAAGTTATCAGGTCTCAAAATATAGGGATTAGAAAATTTTAGCTTTTAAAAAGAATTCAATTCCAATTTTCAAACTTACATAAATACAGCGCAATTTGAACTGTGTGCAGGTTTCGATCAATTTTTCATTTTCGAATTTTGATTATATACTCGTCTTCCATTATTACCTACCATATATCAACCAAATACCTGAACAACCCTTTAATCAGAAAACATTTCTACTTTTCATTAAACTATTGAGACAGTGAGTCGCGCAGTTCTTACTTTAGAAAACATTAAGAAATTATCAGAATTAAACACTTTTCATCCCTTTCTGTAAATAAAGAGTCACTTAAAATTACCACGAAGGTCCCTCTCAGGGTGAATATTTTTGAGAATAACCTTTCTCCCCCATCTTTAGGGGGGGGGGGGTGACTGGTTTTTGTCTCAGTACTCCTCTTAAAATGCATTTGTCTTGTGTTTCATGGTGAGATTGGACAAAATGAGTATATTCTGATAATCTTTTAATTTACAAACATTGTATCAAATGTAGCAGCTCTTGCACTGATTTATAATATTTCAATTCATAATTACTTTTCCCGTTCATATATTTATCCTTGAATGGATCCTGTAAACCCGCAATATATTTAGATGTCGTCTTTGTTACAGAGAGCTATTTCGGAAGAAAGGCATTTATTTATAGTAAACGTATAAGAAAGCACAGCGGTTTCGGGATAATCTAATTATCTAAATCTTATTATAACAGCCATATAGAAAAGATTTAAGGGAGTCGGCAGCACGCCAGAACCTTGATTTATTCAGACTTGTTTAAAAACCCTATTTTAAGAGTCTTCAATAAAATGGTGGGTTTTCTTAGCATTTACGCTCTTGCAGAACAAATATCCGTAAAAGCGTTTGATAGGTCTCAAATGAATACTAAAAAATTTCTCAACAATACTGCTGCAATCTCAGTTCAATTACCATACATTGCCGGTCACTCCCTTTAATCCTGGTTTGGCTTTCTGGAGAATTCTAATCATTTATTGATAAAAATATTCGGGATATTGATATTGTATGATGAATATGTAAATGAGGGAAAACAGTTTAAAGAATTGAAAATTTGTTGTTTAAAAATATTCTTGTAATTTCCTGGTTAAGTACGCCAACTCTGCGGAGGAGAGAAAAGATATTAGAACACCAATCCAGGATACTGCTGGACACCATCCTACAATATAGGATACAATACAGGATACAGGTTACAATACAGAATACTGCTGGACAACATCCTACAATATAGGATACAATACAGGATACAGGTTACAATACAGAATACTGCTGGAAAACATCCTACAATATAGGATACAATACAGGATACAGGTTACAATGCAGGATACTGCTGGACAACATCCTACAATATAGGATACAATACAGGATATAGGGTACAATACAGGATACTGCTAAATACCATCCTGCAATATAGGATACAATACAGGATACAGGTTACAATACAGGATACTGCTGGACACCATCCTACAATATAGGATACAATACAGGATATAGGGTACAATACAGGATACTGCTAAATACCATCCTGCAATATAGGATACAATACAGGATACAGGTTACAATACAGGATACTGCTGGACAACATCCTACAATATAGGATACAATACAGGATACAGGGTACAATACAGGATACAGGTTACAATACAGGATACTGCTGGACACCATCCTACAATATAGGATACAATACAGGATACTGCTGGACACCATCCTACAATATAGGATACAATACAGGATACAGGGTACAATACAGGATACTGCTGAATACCATCCTACAATATTGGATACAATACAAGATACAATTCAGGATACAGATTACAGGAAACAATACAGGATACAGGATACAATACAGCATACATGATACAGATTACAATACAATATACAGGGTACAATGCAGGATATTATATCCACTCTAAAAAAATTTAGTAAAATAAGTTTAAATAAAAAAAATAAAAATATCTTTACAGCTAAATCAAATTTTCATATTTCTTTGAAAAAAGTTTGCTTTTAATATTTTAAAAGTAGATACAAAAGCATTTGGTGATTAACTGTATGGATAGTAACAAGAAGTATTAAAAATGGTTAGAAGCTTCCAGCAAACCCACAAACCTTTAATAAATTCATGTTTAAAAAGGATGTTTTTTAATATATCACGTATATAGTGATATCATATAAGATAAAGCATCTTAGAATTAAATTGTGCTTATTTCTTAAAGAGAGTGACTGGCAAGGTTGGGTGTTTAGCTGGAAGTGCAATATTATTTTCTCAACCTGTTCTTAAACTTGGCATTAGTTTCTGTTAGAATTTTAGAATTTTTTTAGTCCAGGTTTTTACGTGAACAAGAAACTATCCCTATAGACTCTAGGTTTACCAGTGAAGGGTTCAAGTCCCCGAAATAAAACATCTTGTCTCTCTTGTGTTCCAAACCAGTAGAGTATTAGTCCTAAAAAATAAAATTTCGCTTTTTAGAAAAACATGAAGATACTGGTTTTAAATTTCCGTGAACTCTTTCGGAAAATGCACTTGTTTGATTTCAGTAGATTTTAAATGCTGGATATAAAATCACAAAAACTAGGTTAGATATGTTTTACTAAAGGAATTGAGTCTTTGTCACAAGCTCGAATTTTCCAATCCATATATCTTTGTAACCTGATAATGTAAACCTTTACTATTTTAAACTTAAATTATGTAATCTGACAGAATTCAGAGTTTGAAAATTTAGCGTTCTAAGACAGTTGGTTGTAAAGATATTGGGGGAAGGAAATCAGAGTTTGAAAATTCAACGTTCTAAGACAGTTGGTTGTAAAGATATTGGGGGAAGGAAATCAGAGTTTGAAAATTCAACGTTCTAAGACAGTTGGTTGTAAAGATATTGGGGGAAGGAAATCAGAGTTTGAAAATTCAGCGTTCTAAGACAGTTTGTTGTAAAGATATAGGGGTAAGGAAATCAGAGTTTGAAAATTCAACGTTCTAAGACAGTTGGTTGTAAAGATATTGGGGGAAGGAAATCAGAGTTTGTGGCAAAAACTCAATTCCTTTGCCTGACCCTAAAGTCCCTCTTAGGTCTTCCCAAAAAGGTGGCCCAATTGGTTCAGCCGTTTTGACGTTTTGACAAATATGTAGATGAGAGTACCTGTTGAAGCTGACCCAGCAGCTAGAAAATACAAAACAGAATCTACTAGAAGACAAGCTGATTGTTGGTAAACAACACCAACAATACCTAGAACAGGTTTACAAAATAATTTTTACTTTAAGGTTAATTATTGTGGATAGAAAGTGTTTGACAATGATCGCATAAAGGGACTGTAAGCGTAATTTAAAGTGACCCTCCGTGCAAAGATTCCAATGTCTGATTTACAACGGTACCATTGAAATTAACCTGATCAATAATGTAGAAGATTTTGTCGTTTTCTAGGTTTTAAAGTGTTCAACTCTGATAAATCCTATATGTTTCCATAGAGTAGGAATGTGCAAGTAACTTTTGTAGATCGAATCTGCAATTGAAAATAATAATCAATTTTCCAAATTATAAACATTGATAATTCATGCTTTTAAGGGAAACGTTGTAGATTGGGCCTTGTCACCTTTGCTTGAAGGGTCACTTGAAATTACACTTACAATCCCAGTAAGCGTAAGTGCAAAATAATCTAAAATGTCCGGTAGATAATAATTTCAAATCAAATCAATAATTTTAAGATTACAATGGTTAGATAGTAAATATACTATTGGACCCATAAAAATGTGGAATAGGAAGACAACTGTAAGACTTAAATCATGATTTTTATTAGTTCAAATAAAATCAAACAGTTTACACACTTACCCCTTTTATTAAGTCTAAATATTTTATTTTTGCTATTTCCTTTAAAACAAATTCAAATATACATTAGATTGCTAAATGTCGTCTTCTTACTCTACGATTTCTAATGGTTCCACCTAAAGTGAAGGAAAATAAATAGTAAATTAATCTTTAAACCAACCTAATATTATAGCAGCTGCTATGATGATAAGACTAGTTAAACTACAGGAAATAGATTTAACAAGAACCCGTAACCAGCGTGGTGGAATACCGGTTTGGTTTGGATATACGTTACTATGGTCTATACATTTCTCGGATAGTGTAGGCATCTCGTCTCGTAGCTTCTGGTAAATTTCATCTAAAAAATATTTATTTTTATATGGAAGAAAAATGTTTCGTTAATTTTCCATGGAAGAGAACAAGATTTTTTTAAACGATTTACATTATTTCTCTTTAACAGAAACATCAAACAGAAATAATATAGCACCATTAGATACTAACTGAACAAAATGTATCATATTTTTATGTGCCCAATTAGGTGACCCAATAATTTAAAAGTCTTTAAAGAAAAATTCATTTTCCTGCAGGTTCGTTTTTTTTTGAAAAGTTCTTTTACACTTTTCCCGATCAGTAAAGAAAAACATTAACGTGTTTAAATGGACAAACAACCGATAAACAAATAAACATGGAACTAAAATACAAAATAAAAATAAACAAGTTTGAAGATGGAAAAAGTGTAGAATTCAAAACTCCAAAGAAATTTTTTTCTTTGGACACTCTGCAGACAGTAGACACATTGTACCTGATTTATAACGTTTAATTTAGCACAGTATGTTCCCGTGACATAAATACTAAGCCATCTTTTAATAATATATTTACATAATTTATGAATATTTTCTATAAACACGCTTGCAGCTGTTAGATTTAAAATTATATTAATGCTTTAAAAACATTTATTGCTAAATCTATAGTAAAAAGTTTATGTTTTCATAATTTCTTTTTTTGAATAAGATTTGAGAAGACCAAACATGTTTTAATTTCTAGTATATAGTCGGATATATTTCCTTTAAAGTCGTATTTTATGCTGCACCCGGTATGTCGGACAATTGATGTATTAATAAAAAAAAACAATTTTATCTAGACTGTATAAATCCATGAATAATAGCTTTCCGTCAATATACAATATCCTTCTTTGTCATACATTTATTTTCAATATTATTTAGGAATAAAAAACACAGAAAACTTTTTTTACTTTTTTATTTAAAAAATAGGAACCATCAAATAGACAATCCAAAAATACAAATACATGCATCTTCGATCACCGATCATCGGAAAACTGATCATTTCGCGGATTTTAGCTCAACCGGTTTAGTCGTTTTTACATCTATTAGAAACAACCAAGCAGACAAGCCAAATATATATATATATGAAGATTACACGAAAAGTATAATTCAATTTTATAAATATTCATTGCTACGTAAATATAAGATGAAATATGAAGAGTACAGTGTCAGATGTTAAACACATATTTTTTGCAGTACAGCTAAACAGCTAAACTACTGCTTTGATATATAAACTACTGCTTTGATATATAAACTACTGCTTTGATATATAAACTACTGCTTTGATATTTAAACTGCTGCTTTGATATATAAACTACTGCTTTGATATAAATGATGAATTGCTCAAGGGGAATAAAACTTTAAAACCCTAAACAAAATAAATACTTATCTAGAACGGTTTAAAACATATTTTACAATTATACACAGTGATATTTCAAAGGATCTTGAACATGGGTAAATGAACTTAAAATGACCGCGCGACGTAACGATTCCATTGTCTGTTTCACAGAATTGGACGTTTAGTTTGCACTGTGATCTTGCCAGGCTACATTTGTTGCACTGGGTAGTCCAGACTAGACAGAACGACTGAATGCATATACAGTACATGTTGTACCGGCTAGGATCATGCAATATTTTGAGTGGGTAAACAAACTCTTTTTGTTTATGTTTATGTACGATGCAAAGAATAGTTGACTTTATTCTCTTTTTTGTTATTTTATTATTGCATTAATATTCTTTTATATCTTGAAAACAAAAGTTTGTGTCACTGCTGTAAAAAGAATAAAAACAAATAAGGCTATAGTAGATACATACATACCAATATATTACATTATGTTTATGTATATTGTGTAGATATATATTGCGTAAATAAGATGTCATAAATCAGTACAATCTAGGCTCCTTAATGAGTTCTTCACCTGATATTATTCCTGATAGGGGTTATAAGGAGAGAATGGGTTCCGTAGAGGGTGAATAAGGGGAGAAAGGGTTCTGGAGGGGGAATAAGGGGAGAAAGGTTTCTGGAAGGGGAATAAGAATAAAAGGGGATCCGTAGAGGGTGAATAAGGAGAGAAAGGGTTATCTGGAGAGGGAATAAGGAGAGAAAGGGTTCTGGAGAGGGGGAATAAGGAGAGAAAGGGTTCTGGAGAGGAATAAGGAGAGAAAGGGTTCTGGAGAGGGAATAAGAAGAGAAAGGGTTCAGGAGAGGGAATAAGGGGAGAAAGGGCTCCGTAGAGGGGAGAATTAGGAGAGATAAAGGGTTACGTAGAGGGGGATTAAGGAGAGAAAGGGTTCTGGAGAGGGAATAAGGAGAGAAAGGGTTCTGGAGAGGGGGAATAAGGAGAGAAAGGGTTCTGGAGAGGGAATAAGGAGAGAAAGGGTTCTGGAGAGGGGGAATAAGGAGAGAAAGGGCTCTGGAGGGGGAATAAGAGGAGAAAGGGTTCTGGAGAGGAAATAAGGAGAGAAAGGGTTCTGGAGAGGGAATAAGAAGAGAAAGGGTTCAGGAGAGGGAATAAGGGGAGAAAGGGCTCCGTAGAGGGGAGAATTAGGAGAGATAAAGGGTTACGTAGAGGGGGATTAAGGATAGAAAGTGTTCCGTAGAGGGTAAATAGGGAGAGAAGGGGTTCCATAGAGTGAGAATAAGGAGAGAAAGGGTCCGTAAAGGGTAAATAAGGGGAAAAAGGGTTCTGAAAGAGGGTAAATAAGGAGGAAAAGGGTTCTGTAGAAGGGGAATAAGAAAAAAAGGGTTCCGTACTCCGTAGAGGGTAAAAAAGTAGATAAAGGTTTCTGAAAAATGGTTGGGTAAAGGAGAAAAAATATATCAGAAGTCAGAGAGTGATGTAGCCTGGGGGAAAGAGATAGGGTTCTGTAGAGTGGGAAGTATGGAAGGAAGGATCAGTTTTGTTTATGGATTTGTGTTCAGAAGTATTATATGTAGAGGTAAGGAATGATATGGGGCATTTATTGACTGTTCTCCGATATATACGCAAATCCAGGAGAAAATAAATTACCTCCTCTACACTAAGACTTAATATAGACCCAACATAATCTAGCATAACCCCAACACACAACGCAAAGAAATTGAGTTTTTGCAATACATTGAAATGTTCTCATCCCTATATCTGTGCAACCTGATAATGTAAACCTACGACTTTCAGTGACAAAGATAAAGGGAATAGAAAATCGGTGTTTGCTGCAAAAACTCAGTTCCTTTTGTGCTTTTAGGGGTTTCTCTCCCCATCAAACAATAAACAATCTGCGTCATTTGGAGAGGTCTAGGCTTTCAGAGCTAATACTTTGGTACACATTTGTACTGGGATTTTTCTTCATAAAAAAATAAAAAACAAACTTCTACATTATTGTTAAATCGGAATTGCGTCACAAAAAGAAGAAGTGCGTCAGGAGACACAATTATTTCGAGTTTTTATGAAGGGAATGAAATGTACGTTTAATTTCCTAACTGGCATCTTAACGATTTATACTTCTAATTTCATATTTATAATCTATATATTGTTTAGAATTTTCAAACATGTAGGCATTAGGTAATAGATAACTATTTTTGGACAAATAAAACATCTTTTTGGTATGAAAGATATTTTCATGTCTGATTTTGTGCGTTTCTTTTGTAAAGCAGGACTCAAACCCGGAGAAAGGTTTTCAAAACAGAGTATAGTTAAAACCAATTAAAGAGATATGTCATATTTCATATTTTTTAATGAATTTGCTATATCTTATAAATATATTGAACGGAAAGCATCGAAAAAAATCTGCAAAATTCACTAAAATAAACAAGAATTTCATTGAGAATTTCACAACTTTGAACGTTCAAATACCTATAACAAGATTTTCGAATATCATTTGACCGGACCTGGAGGGGATTTAAGAATTGCAATCATATTCTTTTCTTGAGAAATATAGAAACATCAAAAAAAAGGATTAATTTTTTTCTGAATCCTAAATCGAAGAAACAATGTTGTTTATTGTACACTTTTTTGGCGTAAGTTTTATAAACAATAATATGCCATGAAATCTTTTAAATTGATAAATAGAATAAAAATGACGAATGTATCTACCTGATATATCTAAACAGGTACTCAGTAAACCACTCCTGACAGGAGCAAGAATATGCGGGTTCAAGAACATTGGAGATTTTCCATCCTGAAATCAAAACAAGAATACATTACAGATTATACATGAACATTGTGTTCAGATTTAACCAAACATTTTTCATGTCTCTAATGTTTAACAACCTTAAAAACGCCAAAGTGCGTTCTATTTCAGGAATCTTAAAATTCGAAAGAATTACTTTTCCAAAATGTGATGAATTTGAGTGAAATAACAGGACAAAACTTAACCAGTTTGAGAGTAAATTTAGTTCGTTTTGTTTTGTGGGATTGAAGCATCTGTTATAGTTTAGTTTCTTTAAACTTTACCCATTTCCTACCTGTACTCTAATATATCTTTAAAAAATGCCTCAACAAATCTTTACAAAAATTTTTTATATTTCTAAATTATGTATTTCCTTATTGGTTAGGCATTCTTCTTCTGAGTATAAATATCGCTGAAGTAGCTTTTAGGTGAATGCCCAGGTATATTCCCAGGTATATCCTCAGGTATATTCCCAGGCATATCCTCAGGTATATTCCCAGGTATATTCCCAGGTATATTCCCAGGTATATTCTCAGGTATTATCCCAGGTATATTCCCAGGTATTTCCAGGTATATTCCCGGGTATATTCCCAGGTATATTCCCAGGTATATTCCCAGGTATATTCCCAGGTATTTCCAGGTATATCCCAGGTATATTTCCAGGTATATTGCCAGGTACATCCCAGGTATATTCCCAGATATATTCCCAGATATATCCTAGGTATATTGCCAGGTATATTCCCAGGTATATTCCCAGGTATTTCCAGGTATATCCCAGGTATTTCCAGGTATATCCCAGGTTTATTTCCAGGTATATTCCCAGGTATATTCCCAGGTATATTTCCAGGTATATTCCCAGGTATATTCCCAGGTATATTCCCAGATATATTCCCATATATATCACAGATATATCCCAGGTATATTCCCAAGTATATTGCCAGGAACATCCCAGGTATATTCCCAGGTATATTGCCTGGTATATTCCCAGATATATTCCCATATATATCCCAGATATATCCCAGGTATATTCCCAGGTATATTTCCAGGTATATTGCCAGGAACATCCCAGGTATATTCCCAGGTATATTGCCAGGTATATTCCCAGATATATTCCCATATATATCCCAGATATATCCCAGGTATGTTCCCAGATATATTCCCAGATATATCCTAGGTATATTGCCAGGTCTGTACAGTGTACTACAGTGTACATATGTTAAAAAGTAAATACTCCCCACTGAGTAAATGGGTGATATGTCTTTTCAGTTTAAGAACAATATCCATTCATCACATAGAGACAACTTAACATTATTCTATCTATCTATCTATCTATCTATCTATCTATCTATCTATCTGTCTATCTATCTATCTATCTTTCTATCTATCTATCAATTTATCTATTTAATTATTTATCTATATATATATATCTCCCTGTTAATATGCTAATAGCTTGAAGGTATCGTGAAAGCTTAATTGCTAAGGTTTCGAAGTTTAAAATAAAATGAAACCCCAAGTTTAGCCACATAATGTTCTACACTTACTAAACTTCTAACATTTAGCAAATAGAAAATACAATTTTGATAATTAGCATAAGCGTAAGCGAAAGCTCTTAATCTTTTTAAAAGGTCTAATAATTAGATTTTGAACTTTTTACTAGGTCTTATAATCATATCTTTTATTCTTTACTAGGTCTAATAATTAGATCTTTTATTATTTACTAGGTCTAATAATTAGATCTTTTATTATTTACTAGGTCTTATAATTAGATCTTTTATTCTTTACTGGGTCTTATAATTAGATCTTTTATTCTTCACTAGGTCTTATAATTAGATATTTTATTCTTTATTAGGTCTTATAATTAGATCTTTTAATCTTTAATATGTCTTATAATTATATCGTTTACTTTTACTAGGTCTTGTAATTAGATCTTTTACTCTTTACTAGGTCTTATAATTAGATCTTTTACTCTTTACTAGGTCTTATAAAAGATCTTTTACTCTTTACTAGGTCTTATAATTAGATCTTTTATTCTTTACTAGGTCTTATAATTATATCTTTTAATCTTTAATATGTCTTATTATTATATCGTTTACTGTTTACTAGGTCTTATAATTAGATCTTTTATTCTTTATTAGGTCTTATAATCATATCTTTTATTCTTTTCTAGGTCTTATAATTAGATCTTTTACTCTTTACTAGGTCTTATAATTAGATCTTTTACTCTTTACTAGGTCTTATAATTAGATCTTTTACTCTTTACTAGGTCGTATAATTAGATCTTTTACTCCTTACTAGGTCTTATAATTATATCGTTTACTTTTTACTAGGTCTTGTAATTAGATCTTTTACTCTTTACTAGGTCTTATAATTAGATCGTTTACTTTTTACTAGTTCTTGTAATTAGATCTTTCATTCTTTACTAGGTCTTATAATTAGATTTTTTATTCTTTACTGGGTCTTATAATTAGATCTTTTACTCTTTACTAGGTCTTATAATTATATTTCTTATTATTCACTAGGTCTTATAATTAGATCTTTTAATCTTTAATATGTCTTATAATTAGATCTTTTTCTATTTGCTAGGTCTTATAATTAGATCTTTTACTCTTTACTAGGTCTTATTATTAGATCTTTTACTATTTGCTAGGTATTAAGATACCATAATTATTACTATTAAAATATGCTGTTTATAAAGTAGCATCTTTTTGACTTATTTTTACAATCCCTTGTAATTATCTCTTTTTACTATCCCTTGTAATTATCTCTTTGGCTTTATATAATATATTTTCTATCCCCTTCTCTTAGAAAGAAACAACCTTAAGCTAGGAGTAAACTAGTCGGATCTTGACTCCATATGTAATCACGGGAAAAATACTCAATAATTGGATCGCAACGACTGTAAACAGGGTTGAGTTTCATTGCAATTCAGATCTATAAATGTTTTCTGGTTTCTTTAAATAAAATAAATTTTTAACTTACAGTGAACCCCCCGGCCCCCTCCTTCCCCGATCCGCTTAGAACCCAATAAAAAGAAATTGAGTCTTTGTAACAAATATTTTCTAATTTCTATATCTTTGTAACCTGATGGTGAAAACCTTTTATATTTCAAACTTATTTGATCTAACAGAATTCACAGTTTAAAATATGTAAGGTCTACGAAACTGGGTTGCAAACATATTGGGATTGGAAAAGCTGAGCTTGGGGCAAAGATTTAATTCCTTTTCTTCAAAACACTTTAGAAAGTTATTGATTCCAGAGAAACGTTGGTAAAGTTTTATTATGGAGAAATATGAAAATTGTTTGGTGTTACATGATTGATCAGAACTCAGAAAATGACGAATTTTCTCATTTGTCTACACAAGATATAGCTATATAAAGAGTAAATTTTCAAACATAAACATTTAAATTCAGAATATCTTACTTTTATACATCAAATTCTTAATACATACAATAAATAAGTTTCAATGAGCACCTTTCGGTGGACCAAAATAAGTATGAAAACTATAAAATATCAAAACTTTTCGATCTCGATCCCATGCTTTCATTTTCCTGCTTATTCTTCTAGAATATTTGGAGATATCTAACCTCTTAAATAATATATCTAACTTCTTAAATGATATATCTAACCTCTTGAATAATATATCTAACCTTGTTAATGATAAATCTCACCTCTTAAATGATTTATCTAATCTTGTAAATGATATATCTAACCTTGTAAATGATATATCTAACCTTGTAAAGGATAAATCTAACCTTGTAAAGGATATATCTAACCTTGTAAAGGATATATCTAACCTTGTAAAGGATATATCTAATCTTGTAAAGGATATATGTAACCCTGTAAAGGATATATCTAACCTCTTAAATAATATATCTAGCCTTGTAAAGGATATATCTAACCTCTTAAATGATATATCTAACCTTATAAAGAATATATCTAACCTCTTAAATAATATATCTAACCTTGTAAATGATATATCTAATCTTGTAAAGGATATATCTAACCTTGTAAATGATATATCTAACCTCTTAAATAATATATCTAATCTTGTAAAGGATATATCTAACCATGTAAATGATATATCTAATCTTGTAAATGATATATCTAACCTCTTAAATAATATATCTAACCTTGTAAAGGATATATCTAACCTCTTAAATGATATATCTAACCTTATAAAGAATATATCTAACCTCTTAAATAATATAGTTAACCTTGTAAAGAATATATCTAATCTCTTAAATGATATATCTAACCTTGTAAATGATATATCTAACCTTGTAAAGGATATATCTAACCTTGTAAAGGATATATCTAACCTCTTAAATAATATATCTAACCTTGTAAATGATATATCTAACCTCTTAAATGATATATCTACTCTTGTAAAGGATATATCTAACCTCTTAAATGATATATCTAACCTCTTAAATTATATATCTAACCTCTTAAATGATATATATAACCTCTTAAATGATATATCTAACCTCTTAAATGATATATCTAACCTCTTAAATGATATATCTAACCTCTTAAATGATATATCTAACCTCTTAAATGATATATCTAACCTTTTCAATGATATATCTAACCTTGTAAAGGATATATCTAACCTCGTAAAGAATATATGTAACCTCGTAAAGGATATACCTAACCTCGTAAAGGATATATCTAACCTCGTATAGGATATATCCTGTGTGAGTAGAATTATGAAGAAGGCCTCCCTCCCAGGAAGGACTGAAGGTGCAGAGAGAGAGTATTAGTAAGGAGAAGGAGGGTAGAACTCCTAATATTTAACACATTGGAAAACAAAGAAAGAGTAATAACAAAGCAAAAAACAAATTCGGAGTTATGCATCGTTGAAATAATTATCTTTGAATGAAAGAAATTTTACAGAAAGGTTTTAAAGTCATCATCAAAATCCCCCTGTGGTTAGAATTCATAGCTATTTTTTTAAAACATGAAATTCATGTATATACATAATTAAAGTAATGAAAAAAAAAAAATTGGAAATACAAATCCCAGAAAAAGTTGTTCTTCTGAACTTGGAATTTTGTTTTACATTGTACATGCAGTAAAATTAGAAATGAGAATTATAATGAATTTCAAAGTTTTATACCTGATGTACAATAGTGAAAAAATAGCCAGGGATTTTTCATCTTCAACCTTCAAAGCATTTCATATTAAAATATTCTTTAACATCTTGTTTTCTTTGTGAAAATACAGAACAAATTCACTTCTCATGTCATAAATGTCAAGGAAAAAAAAGATAATAACCATTTTATTCTCATAATTTTTTAGTTAGTTTAAAAATATTTTTAATATTTCAAAACAATTAAATTTGTTTAAATTGCTTTCTCATATTTGCTAAAATATGCAATTAAACAATAAAATAAACGATTTAAAACTCACAAGCATCTTATTCACAGGTTTTTATCAATTTTATTTTATTTTGAATTACAATCTCGACGTTTTATCTAAAGTTAAAATTCCTTTAATTATACAATTTCACGTCATTCATGTTCACACTACCCCGAGCACACACACACTAGTCCTCACTTACACACAAACACACGCTATAATGTTCACATCCCCAAGCATCCCTATTCTAAAATATATGTATTCTCAGGAGAATGTTTGCTAATGAAATATAATTTGCATATCAGCTTTCAGAAGAAAATGAAAATACAAAATATTAAAAAGTTTAATATGTGCAATGTACATATACTATAAATTCAAGGCGCTTCGCGCCCTTCTTTCTAGGCTTTTAGGGCGCTTCGCGCCCATCTTCTTTTTAAATTGTGATTATGCTCTTTTTGTTTACATTTTAAAACAAAGAAGACAAATTTTTGCGGATTTAAAAAAGAAAATTCGTGGATTTTCAAGAATTTAAATTTTTTACAAAATTAAAAACCTTTTAAACACATTTTAAAATTGTTATCATTCATAACCCTTCCCAGTGGTCACGTGATGTCCCACAAAAAATTTGGGCCCGATCGGTTCAGCCGTTTTGACGTTTATTGGATACAAACAAACAAACAGACACCCAGACAGACAAGCCAAATTTATATTTAGATATCGTACTCGCTGAAGTGCCTGGCATTGCCCAAGAAAAAAAAATTTGGAATTTAAAAAAATAGATTTTTGAAAAAAAAATTCGAATTTTGAAGAAAAAAAAATATTTAATCTATTTTACCCCCAGGGTACCAACGAATTCCCTAAAAAATGTCAGCAAATTCGGTCCAGCCGTTTGGCCAGTGATGGCTAACATGGAAAAATAAACTGTTTTTTTTTTTACTTTTCAGATATATAATTATGCAAATATTTATATATGAGCGAAGAGCTTTATTATAAAGATGTATCTAAATTAAGATTAACTTTTTTAGCCATTTTTGTTATGATTTTTTATTTCACCACTGGTTCCCACGACCAATTTTGCCTATAAAACATCCCTCCCTGCGCTCTGGGTGTTTTGTTGGCAAAATTGGTCTGTAGAGCCCTTGGAAAAGTAAAATTTCCTTATAACTTCCCTGTAAAGTAGTTGTAAAAAATTATTATGCAGACTATGGATTACTGTTATAAATATATATTATCGCTATTTATAAATTTTGAACTATTATTTATTAGCATTAAATAGAATACTGAAAATGCAAACGCGTTTCCCATGAGTCCTATCATTGCATCGGTGCTAGGCTTTACCAGTCTTTGTGATCGTACTGCGTACGCATTATATCGTACCAACCCGTCTAGTGAACCCAGTGTGTGGTGGACCCAGCACGCTTTATCTAACAAATATAGGCTGGCAGGATCCATGTGTTTTTTCGGTACTCACTAAAGAAAGATTGAGTTGAAACTAATACTATGTTGTAACATTTGATTCACATTATTTAAGGAATTATGAATTTTAAACTGTTAAATTATTGTTCCTTACATACATCGTTTAATTTTCTGAAATTTCTTCGTTTCAAAATCAGATTATTCACAAAAAATGTTACAAATATAAATATATGTCTCAAAGTCGTCAGTGTTATAGATATAAATAAAAATCAAAAACAATTTTAATATTTAAAATAATAATGCTTTCCTTTGCTTTAACTGGCGAAACCAGACAGTGTTTGTTGAAAATCTATAAAAACATCAATTTTTATCAAATTCAAATATAATTTAGGGTACCGATTTCAGCAACATAAATTTCAATAAACAGACATTAAAAAAGATATATTTAAAACAGACAAAAGGAATGTATTCACACTTCAAAATGTATATACAAGCTCTTCCCATCAAATTTTTTAAAGATTAAAAAGTCTAAAGTAACTTTTATTAAGACACGCTGGATTTTTACAATTTCACAACCCTTTTAAAACGTTAATTGAAATTATTAAAGTCCAACCAAACTTAATCTTTAATCATTTTAAGATGGTAAAATATGTTTAAAAGTCGAATATAATTACAAGAAATTATACTTAATGTTTCTTTTGAAAGAAATAAAATGATAAACCTGAATATTGCTTAAATATGGAACATTTTTGAAATTATTAGTAAGATATGAAAAATAAAAATTAGATTGGCATAAAAAAAACTTCCCAAAATCCAGAATTCAAAGCAGATCTGAAAATTCTTTCAAATAAATGTTCCATTGCTTTGCAAATATTTAATAAAGCAAATTAAGGCTGGAAATCTTCTGTTAAATCTATCTTGATAAAAATTATGGCAGGAATTTTCAAGGAATAGTCGCTAAGAATTACGTGTACAATCTTTTTTTAATAGAAATTTGAAATGATAAATGTTGACAGATAGCTATTTGATGTTCCCTGAAGCGTATATTCTTGTAGTGGGAACACATGGAACACATCTAAACTTGAAGAAAACACGAATAATCATCAAAACTGGGAACACAGGAACGAGGCACCATAAAAACACTGATCAAGCTGATGATGACGTGAACACAAATGTCATCTACAATATCGGAGATTTTCTACAAACTATAATTTAATTCACAGATTTACAATTAAATCATTATTTTATAATTCCTGTTTTTCTATTAAGGATTGAATCTAGTGTTACCATATAAAAAATGATGGTATGAAATAAAGGAACTCTAAAGCCTGAAACTGATGTGAGTAAATCTACGAATATAGGAAAAAATGTATTTTCAAGTAAAAAAAAGGAACAAATAAGATGATACAAATGAATCATGGAACACCGGAGCTCTTTGGTAGCCTCTCCGCCTTTCATTCACCTCGTACGACGAGTTAATCATCCGTCTTCCGATCCTTCATGAATACTAACTTTCCTTTCGGTTTTAGCCAAGGCCGATCCGATTTTCTCCTTCCTCGTATCAAGCCGTGTTTCATGTCTATTAGCTTGAATTTAAAATAGAATTCCCGTTCCAACAGTAGTTTTGGTTTTCCACGCATTCAAATCTTCCAAACGTTCAAATTAGCATTAAAAGCATGTTTTCTAGGCTGACAGTTTTAACGGATACATCTCTCTACATGATGTTCATGAGGCGACTTATCATCCGTCCCACTTTCTGCACGACCTATAGCTACATACAAAATAGCTAATACATTGTCCTGTTTATAGGCCAGACTACTTGCAATCCGAGCTTAGCTCCGGGTCCGTATGATGACTGGAGGGGTTACTATCCCATTTCCGAGCTATTGAGCTCACACTGGTTACAGTAGTGTCAAATCGGTTAAAATTCTCTTGTTGAATATGAGGGATACTAGGGAAAACTTAACATTTAGTATGATATTAGTTTTAAAAAGATAATATTTAAAGTTAACAATATTCAAATAAATCATATTTGATGTTTTGCATCCAAACTTTGATACTATTCGGTCTGTTTGAGGAAAACAAAGACATAAAATACATTTCTTCTAGAAGAACAAAATATTGGAAGGAAAAACTTCCGGTTTGCATATTTTCCATTACTTAACCATCAGATTAAATAAAAAGAAGTTATTATTGTTTTTAACCAAAAATAGATTAAGGTTTTAATCTACATTTCGATATCCCAAACCCCTGAAGCATCATGCCTTATAGTTGAACTCACTCTATCTGTAAAATGCGTTTTGGACTGAAAACAACTGAGACCGTTGTAAAGCTCTGTAGACATATTTAATCAATTTCACTGACAAGGGGGGGGGGGTTCCCTCCCCGAAATATCGAATGTGAACCTCAGTATCAGGACCTGGAATATTGTATCCGAGAGGATCCAGGATTGTTGCGTAACTGCTAGTTAATCCGTCCTCCGTGGGTTCTTCTCTGGGTACCCAGTATACCTGGTATATTCCAGTATACCTGGTATACTCCAGTATACCTGGTATATTCCTGAATACCTGGTATATTCCAGAATGCCTGGTATACTCCAGAATACCTTGTATACTCTAGAATACCTGGTATACTCCAGAATACCTGGTATACTCAAAATACATGGTATACTCCAGAATACCTGCAGTATACTATACTCCAGGATATCTGGTATACTTCAGAATAGAATACCTGGTATTCTCCAGAATACCTGGTATACTCCAGAATACCTGGCATAGTCCAGAATACCTGGTATACTCCAGAATACCTGGTATACTCCAGAATACCTGGTATACTTCAGAGTACCTGGTATAGTCCAGAATACCTAGTATACTCCAGAATACCTGGTATAGTCCAGAATACCTGGTATACTCCAGAATACCTGGTATACTCCAGAATACCTGGTATACTCCAGAATACCTGGTATACACCAGAATACCTGGTATACTCCAGAATACCTAGTATACTCCAGAATACCTGGTATACTCCAGAATACCTGCAGCATACCATACTCCAGGATACCTGGTATACTTCAGAATACCTGGTATACTCCAGAATACCTGGTATACTCCAGAATACCTGGTATACTCCAGAATACCTGGTATACTCCAGAATACCTGGTATACTCCAGGATAGCTGGTATACTCCAGAATACCTGGTATACTCCAGGATAACACAGTATTACCATATTTTTCATTGCAAATAATTATAGTTGATTTATAGTCCTCGGTTACTGTGCTATCGATTTACCTGGTATACTCCAGAGTACCTGGTATACTTCAGAATACCTGGTATACTCCAGAATACCTAGTATACTCCAGAATACCTGGTTTAGTCCAGAATACCTGGTATACTCCAGAATACCTGTAGTATACTCCAGAATACCTGGTATACTCCAGAATACCTGGTATACTCCAGAATACCAGGTATACTCCAGGATACCTGGTATACTCCAGAATACCTGGTATACTCTAGGATAACCGTATTTTTCATTGCAAATAATTATAGTTGATTTATAGTCCTCGGTTACAGTGCTATTGATTTCATGTATAATAATAATAACAATATAAAGTTTAGTGGGACAAACCTAGTATTTATTGCAGGAATTTGAATTTTCCTTATTTTCCTCAAGCTATACAGGGTGTCTCTAAATAAACAATGGTTAGTTTGTTTGGATATCAAAGTTTGAAGTACATAACCGACTTTTTTACATTATATATACGACGTATATAGTACTATAGATGACTGCAAAAACACTATATATACGACGTATATAGTACTATAGATGACTGCAAAAACTACCCCCTTGGAAATCATAGTTTTTTCCAAAGCCACCTCCCCCCTTTTATAATCTATTAGCGAACAATCACTTGTCGCTCGTGGTGCGCAGAGTGCGAACCATGAAATGAAAGTCAACGTTGAACAATAAGTGACTAATAAGTACATTTTTTAGCTTTAGCACTTTTAACCTAACTCAAACTATGATCTTTGTGGTCAATGGCCAGCTCCTCTCAGTGAGAGACTATATGAGGAAAATTGCTGTTATATCGTTGAATCATGGTAACCTACGTATCCTATACAATCTTGGCAGGGATTATTTGAGACTACTTCTGAATACTGAATATTGAATAGATCTACTTTTCTACACATTGAAGACTGGTGATAAAACTCCGAGATCAGTACTTGTACTTTTTATAAACAGTGGGTCCCTCATTTCCTGACAGTCTAAAATTCGCCATTTTTAATCGTTTTAAAATTTCGTGGAAATTGGTGCTTGTTAAAAAATAATAAATGACAACTTTTATTACGGGTGAAATTTTTCAATTTTGACGATCCAACCCTTACCAGCTTACCAAGTTACCACAATAGAACTTGGGCCATTAGTTCAAGCATCTGTTTGACGTTTTGCAAATGGTTTGATGAAAGTCTTGCACATGTTATGTTATGTTATGTTTGGAAATCATTTATGTCGGTTACGGAGAAAGGGTAGAGTATAGAATGCTGATGGACTGTTTGTACAGGGAAATTGTACAGACTCCTTATCATTGAACATAAAGGTTAACATGTACATTTAAAGAAGAGGGGGATTTTTGTAGACGTCATTTTAAGCATGAATGAAAATGCAGAAACCAATTAATTTTAATGTACATTTGTCAATTCGTTTTTCTAACTCCTTGTGCAAAGTTCAAATATTCAAAAAATATTTATCAATATGAAAAACATGACGCAAAACATTCAAAATGGCTCTTTTGATATAAAAGGGGTTCGAGAATACTGAGAATTATAAGCGCAGCCAAGCGCGCGAGTATTCCTTCCATTTCATCCTACAAGAGGGGTGGGGCACATGGGGGCGTGGTCCACCCCCCCCCCGGTTCGGCCCTAACTTGTATGCTAAAAATGTTATTGATGTATTTTAAATTTGTTAACCTTTTTTTGGTTTTTTGACATAGCATCCGTTGGAAGAATTTAAATTGTAATTTTTTGACTAAAAAGCATGGTTCCCTGCAAGATATATGACTATCTCTGTTAAAGTTAAACACTTTTGAATTGACGAAATAAAGTTTTTGAATTTTCAAAAAATCCATTATCATATACAAAAGTTTTTTGTCCCAAAATATTTGTTGTGCTCCAAATTCAGAATTTTACTCAGAAAAACTGTTATTTTTTCTCACGAGCAATTTCTATTTATATGCATGATACAAATTTAACATCCAATATGCCTCTGTTTATGTGATAAGTGAATTAACTTGGAATGAAATGCCAAAAACGGAAAATTATATCGCAAAAACAGTAAAAATAGCCATGTTTTTATTTCTTTTTTTTTACTTTAAAAAGCTTATTTGATAACTAAACGGAGATTACTAGACACAGTTAAATTAAATGGTATGTAAACCAATATCTAAAATCTTTATACATTATCCAACTCGAAACAAATTCTAAATATGACGAAGCTGTAAGAATAATTTTATAAAGAATGTACAACATGGTGGGCTTAACCATTTATTAATGAAAAAAAGAACAATATTTTAATTAGGTTTCTAATTATTGTAAAGTACTCCACAACTCCATCTTTTTCTTTTCTCAAAGATTTCTTAAAATAGAACTTCATGATTTTCCTGATTTCCTTCACTTGTGAACTTCATGCAGTACATAAATCTCCTGACAGACCCGGTATCATGAAACCTTAACAAGATTATGTTAAAGCTTAAGATCACGTGAATTTAATGGTTGTCAATATTCCAGAAAGCTATAACTTTCGATCACAATTACTCCTATTAAACATAATTTTTCAGCCTTTTTTCTTAAATACTTTTTTGTCGGCATATATGTTTTGAATAAAAAGTATGTGACAAACAAATCCGTAACTTTAAAAATTGTCAAAATATAAACCAAAACGAGTATGATTTCAAATTGAAGAAACCAAATGCCTCTAACTCTGGTTAGTCATTGGTGAGATATATTCGATATATAGTGGCCATGGGCTGTCATCACCCCCCCCCCCTCCGAACACCCTATCTATACACCCTTGATATGAAAAAATTATGAAATGTTCCTTTAAGACAAATCCAATTTGGAAAATATGTTACAGTCTATAAAACAAAATATGCGTTGGTTGGTCTAGCTTTCCATCCTTCTTTCAAAAAATATTTCCACAAATGACATAAGCCGTGGAGGGATAGTCAGCTCTGTTGCAGAAATGTTGATTTTTCAAAAACTTTAAAATTGTAAATTATTTAAACAAAATTCATATTTTACCTTGGTATAAGCTCTTATGTTTCGGATTAGTATTGTTATGCCCATAGGATAATTTTTCAAGTTTACTGATGATCGAATAACTTCTTAATTTGCAGTTTTATTCAACAAATCTTTCATGCTATGGTATAGAAAAACTGTCTACTGTTTACATACCCCAGATATGTGTACACTGATGCCGCAACTCTCATTTATCCGATGTACTGTATGTCACTACATGATCTATACCTATAACCGATTCCCTTCTGTCCCTGATCTCTGTCCTTATTGCAAAGACGACGGATTACATCCCTTGGTCGGTTACCATGATTTTTGAGCATAAAAAAGGCAAAGCTACAGATAACAACTAGCTGATCTTTTCTTAAATCTGTTGAATCTGTTAATATTTTATCAATAGATTTTCAATACTGCTTGTGAATTGTTTTCAATGAAAAGAAGAAAGTAAATCCCTAGATCTAGTTGTTTTCTAAATATATATCGAGGGAATTATGTTGTATATATATATATATATATAGATCTCAAGACAAACCTGATATTTATGTTAATACACAAAGCTTGATTGGCAGGTCTATACTCCGAGGTACATTTATTATTCTATAATGTATATTGGAAGTTTTTGTTCAGGATAAATGTTTGCAATAGTTCTATTATTTAGATAATTGCAGTTTTGGTTTAAGATCTGCACAGTGCACGTGTTGTGTTAACAGACGTGAAGTAGTCGGCGTTTATTTCAATATAATCAAGACAACTTTTCTAATTGGGTTTTGATTTCCAACAAACTTTTTTCAAATTACACGTTTGCAAGCAACAATTAAAAGAATCTGTTAATTGACTGTTTCTCTTTGTTTCCATGTTTTCGTGTAACCTTGGTAGAAATTAAAATTGAAATAGAAAGTCGTCTTCGTTATATTGATATATCCAACGACAACTGTATTTAGAAGCATTAGAGTATATATATTAAGACCATTTCCCCCCGAAAAAAACTAACCCTTGGAATTACTCTAGTTTTCAGGGCTGGCCTCCTCTAGGATGAGCTTTTCAGTTGTGGGGACAAATCTTTCCGTTAAAGTATAACTGGGAGGAAGGACTAGAGGAAGACTACAGTAGTCTGATTTATTGTTGAGAGCACTAATATATTTCAACAAGTGTCACACATATCAAATATTATCTAATATATTTCAACAAGTGTCACACATAACAAATATTATCTAATATAGTTCAACAAGTGTCACGCATATCAAATATTATCTAATATATTTCAACAAGTGTCACGCATATCAAATATTATCTAATTCTTTAAACAATGTTGTTTTGGGACATCATTCATCCACCATACACAAATAATAAATGAAATAATTAACAAATACGTATGTGTTTTTTGTTTTACGGATTCAACGGGCTTTGTTGAGTTGAAGCCCTAGATAAAGCAGTTTACATATTTATAGGTAATAAAGGGAAAAAAACAAGTTATTCATAATTTATGATACTTTTTATTCAAAAGAAACTGAGTTTTTGCCACAAACTGAAATATTCTTTTCCTTGTATCTTTGCAACCCATGGTCATAGACCTTAAATATTTCAAACTATTAATTCTGTTAGATCAAATAAACTAAGTTTGAAATATCTAAGGGTTACACTAAGCGGTTACAGAGATATAGAAATTAGAAAATTTGAGTTTGTGGCAAAAACTCAAATCCTGTGTTCCTCTCTCCCATTCAACGAATCAAAACTTTTAATTTCTAATGCACATCTGGGGAAAAATGCCTATTGAAAATCTCAAGAAATAATACCTTGCATTCTCATGCGTCGAGTTGCAATTTTTAATTTATGACACCTCCAGTATTGCAGCAGACAAAGTATGATAGTGAAGACCCAAAATTTAACAATACAGCATAGGACTTCACAGAGCAAAAAAAAGCAAGCTGAAGTTTAAAGTATTTAAATAAAGTAGAATGGCGTAATATAAAGTTTCAAACAGTTTCAGAATAATTTAACAGTCCCATGCAGTGAATGCAGTAGGGTTGCTAGAATATTCTGTCCATCTAGCAGGAGTATTAGTATCTGCATATTACAACATGCTAAATTTTTACTTAGCCCTGTCAAAATGGAGGAATTTCTTTCAGTGCAAAGAAATCTCGTTTTTTATGAAGGGTTTTTATCGAGCCTTTGGGGTAATATTACATCTGTTCTACGGCATTTCTGTCCTACAGTACCTAGGACCTACGACAGCTGTATAGGAAGGATGTACATTCTATTTTGTTAATCCGACCTACGCAGGAACTGCAGATATAGTCAGTATATAATTGACAGGACTACCATAAGGATCGATGTTACGATTGCACACGTAGGTCGGATGCACAGCTTTCGACGTAGGTCAGATGTAACAATTGTGTAGGTCGGATGCACAGATTTTGTAGGTCGTATGCACAGATTTTTTAGGTCGGATGCACAGATTTCTGTAGGTGGGATACACAAGGTTAGAAATTGAGACAATTTATGGGCCAATCACTGCGGCTAGGACAGGTTAGGGGGCCGAGCGGTGCGGCCACATTTCTTAAATTGACCAAGTGATAGACAATATGTGGGGTTAAGATAGGTTAAGACAAATTCTGGACCGAGCGTTGCGGCTATGGCAGGTTAGGTGGCCGAGCGCTGCGGCCACATGTATCAATGACCAAGTGAGACAATATGTTGGTTAGGTTAGTTTAAGACAATTTTTCTGCCGAGCGCTGCGGCCGCATTTATCAAATGACAAAGTTTTAGCCGATATGTGGGGTTAAGTTAGGTTAAGACATTTGATGTGCGTCCTATCTACAGCGCTGAGTACAAACAACTTAAGAAAGCTGTGCGAAAGACCTACAGTAGGTCGGGTACACTAACTTTTTTGTGCATCCGACCTACCAAAGTTGTGGCATCCGAACTACAGAAGAATGCAACCAACCTAAGAAACCTGTGCAACCGACCTTCGGATACAGTAACTTTTTTTAATGAAGTTTGTATCCGACCTACAGTACATCGGACCAATAGCAGCTTAAAGTTGCTAAAAAACCACGTGCGGGTAGGTCCAAAGTATCGTAGGACGGATGTAATACAATCATTTTTGGTCATACAGGACTGTATGTTGCATAGAACGCCAACATGTTTCTTTTCTTTACTGTTCACCAAAAAAGATGGTCAACAAATATTCCAATAAAAAAGCCCAACTTCAGTTACATATCTTTTTCAGGTTTTTTTAAAAGTAGGAGTTGTGCTTAATAACTTACTACTTTCACTACGTAATTAATTTATAATTAAATGCTTGGGTTGCACGCCTGATTGTTTTAACATACTCAAAATAATTTGATCAAAATATTTTAAACTTTACAACAGTAAATCTAATAACTCAGTTTTTAATATACTTAATTTAAACTTCTCATAGATAATGATCGCAGTGAACGGTTTATTGAGAACCTTTACGAAATATTTACAGCTTAAATGGATTAATGGAATTAAACCTTTACATATTACTATTACATGTATTTAGCACAATAAAGGATAAGTACATATGATAAAAATGTACTTATATCCTTCTTACAAATTATAACAGTTAAAACTATTCCACTATCTGAACTAGTACATCGTAACACTGATAGTTTACATTATTGTTCACACAAATATTGTTACTTTCTAACTAAAAATCAGTGTACACTGTACTGTCCAATACTCCTGAACTGGTTCAAAGTAAACGGGTTGTATTGAGAACCTTTTTAGCGTACTCGTCGTTGTACAAGGATTCTTTCTTGAATAGTAAACTTGTCTTCAGTTCCTGGAAACTACTCCGACCTTGGGACACCTTAATAAACAACTTTCATAAACATTAGATCTACAACCCTTTCATGAACATTAGTTTTTCAACACCTTAATAAATATTAGATCTTCAACACCTTGATAAACATTAGATCCTCAACAACTTAATAAATATTAAATGTTCAACACCTAAATAAACATTAGATCTTCAACACCTTAATAAATATTAAATGTTCAACACCTAAATAAACATTAGATCTTCAACGCCTTAATAAACATTAAATGTTAAACACCTTAATAAACAATAGATCTTCAACACCTTAATAAACATTAAATGTCCAACACCTTAATAAACAATAGATCTTCAACACCTTAATGAACAATATATCTCCAGCACCCTAATAAACAATATATCTCCAGCACCTCAATAAACAATAGATCTTCAACACCTTAATAAACATTGGATCTCCAGCACCTTAATAAACAATAGCTCTCCAGCACCTTAATAAACAATAGATCTTCAACACCTTAATAAACAATATGATCTTCAGCACCTTAATAAACAATAGATCTTCAACACCTTAATAAACAAAAGATCTTCAACACCTTAATAAACAATAGATCTTCAACACCTTAATAAACATTGGATCTCCAGCACCTTAATAAACAATAGATCTCCAGCACCTTAATAAACAATAGATCTTCAACACCTTAATAAACATTGGATCTCCAACACCTTAAAAAAATAGATGTTCAACAACAAATTCCTTGCTATTTGTAATCTCCTATTAAAAGAAATTGATTGATTGAAATTGACCTCTAGCATAGTTATCACCACCCTGTGTCCATCCTTGCTGTGAGAGAGATTGACAAGAGCTGTATTTGCATCACTGTTCTTCTCCCTGCAAACCTAACATCAAAATCTTATATGTGAATAAAAAAATATCTTGGTAGATTAAAGCAACCGTTGTTTTAATTTGAAATTGCCATGAGAGCGTTGTTTTAATTCGCAGTGACCATGCGACCGTTGTTTTAATTTGAAGTGACCATGCGACCGTTGTTTGAATTTGAAGTGACCATGCGACCGTTGTTTTAATTTGAAGTGACCATGCGACCGTTGTTTTAATCTGAAGTGACCATGCGACAGTTGTTTTAATTTGAAGTGACCATGCGACCGTTGTTTTAATTTGAAGTGACCATGCGACCGTTGAATTAATTTGAAGTGACCATGTGACCGCTTTTTTAATTTGAAGTGATCATGCGACCGTTGTTTGAATCTGAAGTGATAATCTTTTCAGATATTGGTATGCACAGTTAACAACTGTACTCTTTAAACCTATTTCAAGTCAATAATGTGCAAGCCATTTTCGTTTTTTTTTCAACTTGATTTTCAAGTAAATAGTTCTGACAATTTTCTTCCGTTGTTTTTTTTTTTTTGCAGCAAAATCATGATTGAAAAGTACTGAATCCGAATGCAATTACCACTACAGTCTCGTTAACATTTTATATAAAGAATGTCTTTACCTGCTCTATCATAAGATCCTGAAGGTCGGAGGAGGAGTGAAGGAGTGCAGCAATGACAACACGGTGACCGCTAGGATGAACAGCAAGATCTTCCAGGTTGGATTTTAAACTGTTCACAACCTGATTGTAAAGGGTATCAGTGATATGTGATTAAAAATGTTTAAATTTTGAAAAATGATTATTTTCAATTGTGGTCCCCCCACTAAGGATGAGACGTCAGAAATTTGAACTCTGTTTCCTGATAATTATGATTTCATGAAACTGTAAACTATTTTCTATCTTAGACAATTAAGTAAGACATGAAAAGACTATATTTATTATTCAATGCAGAAGACTTAATTCAACCTTGGGAATATGATATTGTTTTAGGTCATCTTTACAGTCTTAACAATTCTTAACCATTGTGGGTAACCATTTATTTTGTATAATTTATCTTTAATTATCATCTGGGCACCATCCTTGTTTAAAGCAATAAATTACCTTTTCTCTAGTATCACTGGAACCATATTCGATAATAGCGATTAAAACGTTGCTTCCAAACCTAGATAAAATAATGGCATTTCATAGGGTTCTATCGATATGTTTAAGTAGAGGATCGTAATTAAAACTTATAGCAGAGAATGTCAAAAGTGAGTCCTACTAAACTCTGGAAAAAGAAGACGACCCCTAGACTCAAGTTATGTCTAATATTCAAATATCATTACAGCAAGTGTTCAGTTGGCACCATTTTCCTAGATAAGTTGGATTTCTAGCAACTAATGAAGCTACTTGCTTTTTAACAGAATCAAATGTTGATAAGATTGTTTAAATATCATCTTCCTATTCCACTGTTTTATGCATTTTAGAGCTCTGAAAAATTACTTGGAATAAGTAAGAGTTTCTTCAGGCAAAGAAAATTAAGATCATATCCTTAAAAATGGAAACATGGCTGTCGCAGAAATTTCAAGTGACCATGCACAGAAATTTCAAGTGACCATGCACAACTGTACTGTAGAAACTTTTATCTGATAAATAATGTGGAAGATATTGTCGTTATTTTCTAGGTTTAACTGTTTTACTCTGAAAATTCCTTTATCTTTTTCGGTAGTATCATTGTAGAGAAACCCCACTTAAAAATCTTAAGTTTTCAACATAAAAAAACATTCATTTCCAATTTATACTTGACCAGACAAAGCTTTAAAGGGTAACGTTGTGAATCAGGCATTTTTATTTTTGCATGAATCACTTTAAATTATGCCTAAGCCCCTTTAAGGTTAAGACCTATTGATAATTTTTTGTTGAGAATGTGCAAGTTATATTAAGTAAGTACAAGTAGAAAGAAGATGTAATTTAGTTATTCTGGACACTCTAATATTTAACGTTAGGAGAGGGATTCCCAGGTGCTAGAACACGAGATAATTAATTTCACACTATGTAACTAAAATAAAAAGTTACAGAGAAAAAGTAAATAAAATATCTTTTTTTTCTAGCAATAGGGATATATGCTTGATCATAAACATGTAAATGTTCACTGCTCAGCTAAGTATGTATATTGTATGATTGGTTTCAATAAATGGTTGATGCTGAAAATAATTAAATAATAAGATTTCAAACCTGTCCATAGAAAGGGATGGAAAATTGGGATACAGCTCTTTTACTATTTCCTCAACAAGATCCATTCCTCTATACGTATTCATTCAATCATTAAATAATTAAAATAAAAAATATTGAATGTAGCACAGATCTTATTTCCTTTTAACAAAATGAAATGGCTAGTCAATGAAATGAAATCAAAATTAAGAGACTTTTGTGTAAATTCAAGTCACTTTTGTAGAGAACCCACGATTGAAATAATTAGTTTTAAAAATTTTAAACATATATGTTGTATATCTAATTTATACTTGATCAGACAACACCTTTACAGGTACCGTTGTGAATCAGACATGCCAATTTAAAAATGAAGGGTTACCTAAAGGTAATAAGTAGATTTTCACAATAAATTAAGCTATCTCTGTAATCTAGTGTGATGAATATTAAAAAATGTTGAATATATTTCCTAGCTCGACATATAAGCCCCTGTATCCCAATATAGCTTTTCATCTGCATTGACAACGAAAGGAATTGGCCTGGAATAACAATTAGATGGTTTACTTTTTACATTTAATTACTTAAGAAGTGTACTGCAGACTGCACAGTACGTACATCACACAAATCAATCAAACAAATGTGGTTACTCATAACTGTTCGTTATGAACTTCAGCAAAATAAAAACTTGCTTAATATACTGGTTTTATAGGGACAAAACAAAATAAAGATTAAGCTTAATGGATCAAAAAAAATGCAGAATATTCTTCAAAACGAATTAAAAAAAGTAATAACATTGACCCTCCATGCAAAGATGGCAAAGTCCGATTCACAAAGGTTTCTCTTTAAAGCTTTGTCTGATAAAGTATGCATTAAAAATTGATCTTTAAACGGATTAATTTCAATTGTGATTTTCCTTGCGCATTATTATTTGAAGAAAATATGAAAGGATTATCGGAATTTCACACTTTTTAACCTAGAACTAATGAATCGGGCATTGCAACCTTTGCATATAGATAGGGTCACTAAAATTATGTTTACAGTTCTTAAAAGGTTTATATTGCCAGATGAATTTTTTTAGATACATATTTTGGTGGACGTTTTACCAGACGGATTCGAATCTTTGGATCCGGATCTACGAAGCCAAAATATTGTGACCAACGGATTCTAATCACTGAAACATAATGACTAGTTTTAAATACCTGTCAGGTTGTCAATAATCTGAACTACGCTTCTTTCATCAAGAAAATCTAAATCAAAGAAGGCAAATATTAACTAAGGAAACAAGAATTTTGGTTTATAATTAATAAAATTAACAACATAGTTAACTTTCAGCTAATATAATTTCTCCATTTCCGTGAACCTTTAAGTACGAGAATACCTAGTGCTAGATTGAAGACAGCTGCTCCATGAACCCAGAACCTGGACAGCTGGGTCGGATCTAACTCCGCTACTTTCTCACTTAGAATCTGTCTGTTCTCAGTCTAACTCATACAAAACATTTAAAAAAAAAAACAATAAATTCCAATTTAATTCCCATACTTAAACGATATTAAACGAGATTCTTGATGAGTATACATAATGGACTGAAGACTCAGGTTTTCTAAACCATACATCTTTGCAACCAAATGTAAGGCATTGCATACTTATTTGATACTTCAAACTAAGAGCTCTGTTACATAAATATCTAAGTTTGACAGATCAAAGAGTTACACAGTCACGTTGCAAAGTTATAGGGATTGGACAATTTGAGTGAGTGGCAAAACTCAGATCATAACTTAAACATGTCCCTCTCAAAACAATATTTTTAAAAATTTGTTTTTAAGTTGTCTGTTGAGCCCTGAAAAAGATTTAAGCAGGATTTGAGAACCAGGCAGCCTCCTTTGCTTCCAACCATTTCTGGGAATGAGGCTGAAAAATAAAAACATTAATTTTAACTTATATTCAGAGAAATATAATCATCAGAAAGAATTTATTTATTTAACAAAAATGATGAAAAATCACCATGGTCAACTTAAATCCTTACTTGAGAATATTCGTGTGATGTTTCGCTCTAGACTTGGAGAATGTTTAGAAACCTGAATATTCAGATTCAATCATTAGTTTTAGATAAAAACTAAATCAATCAAGAAATGAAAAAAAAATGTTGTTTTATTTGTTTTTTAAATTTGTGTTTTGTTAATCTACGGATTTTGATTGTAGGATCAAGCATTCATCGAAAAATTAAAAGTGGCCACATTGAAAATCAAGATCAAGTGTTCAATATTAAAGTTTCTATCTTAGAAGATTTAGTCTTAAGAAACTTGACATTTTTTTTGAAGTCTTTGTTACCTGTGCAACAAATTTTGCAATTATTCTCCAGCCTGATGGATCTTCTGTTAGGGTTATTATCTTAGGTTTAATCTCCTTAAAGACGAGGTTTAGATCCTTCTCTCCAGTACAGCTCTTTATCTTTTCCTGGAGACAGGTTCCAGGACCAGAACCTACAACATATTCTCTTCAGATCCACTGCTTAGAATCCACAATATTCAGTAAAACTAACTCCATTTAGATTAAATATTGGAAAGTAATGCTTTTAATGCCGACCCAGATCAGCAATGAATCATCAGATTTGTTATTATCTTTAGTATTTTGTTAGATAAAGCATTTGTTTTGAGTAAACTGTTTTCCCAGCTAGGCGTCATTAACAACTATTTTCTTACCTCCAGGTTTTCCAGCATCCTTAATTCTCAACATAGCCTTAGTTTCTGCAGTTAGAACGGTCATGTCATGTTCTGATAGATGAAGAGGAACACTGAGAAGGTTTCTGTTCATATCCCTCTTCTCATGAACACCCGAACACTTTCGTTTTCCTTAAAACGTAATATTTCTTTCACGAACTGTCGATTCTATTGATATAAACTTACCTGAACCTTTGATCTCAGAAACTTTTCCTTTCATTGATAACATGGTTCTTCTCTCCGAGCTTTGTGCTTTAGCAGGTCCAAGAACTTTTCTCTCTGAAGATTTAGAGTGATACAATTGTGACCTTTCCTGTAAACCTTGTGTTTTAATGGACCCTGATAATTTCCACTCTGATCTAAGTCCTTCATTATAAACCGCCTTTGTTCTATGTGGTTCTTGTGTTGGAGCAGACTCAGAGCTTCTTATCCCTGAAACCTGAACTTGAACTTTTTCACAGGTTTTCTCTGCAGTAGGTGCTTCAGGGACAATCGTACTTTCTGAGACCAGACTCTTGCAAGAAGGATAATCGTGAGCTTCACAAATACTTGATTTTCTTTGATATAAAGGCTTGGATTGTGTGGTTGTTACATTGAACTCAGAAGATGGTAAAACCAGAGAACTGAATAAATTGTCATGATTAAAATTCTTTTCCTCAATTAAACTAAAAATTGGGATTATCACAGAATTCAAATTAAACATTTAAATTTCTCAATATGAGAAGATTGCAAAATATTAAAAAGGCTGGCAAAAATGAACAAAGGGCATGTAGGTTCTGAAATCATAAATCTGAAGAGTAATTACCTTTAAACTAAATTATATATGCTATATTTTCCCAAAAATGTTAATGGGTTGTGTATGTATTTAATGCTTTTTAATAGAGCGCTTTTAAATTAACTATTTTTTTTACATTTGGTTAAGAAATTCGTCCTTATTACAAGCCCATCCACATTTAAACCATTATTATTGATGAACATCAGCACGTTTTTGACAAAACTATTTTTAAGAACATATATCTTTCCCTGGGATGATAGAAAGATGAAAATTTCCCTGTATGATAATTGAAGGAATGCAGTATGGTTTTGGTGAATTATATTGACGTACTAAGCCTAGGGGTGTCAGAAATATATTTTTTGCATATTTTAAAAAACTCATATAAAACTGATTTAGTTTAATTAATACTGGGTGGTCCCCAGTATCCTCTATTACTCCCTAATACCTCCTGTACTCTCCAGTACCTGTCAGTACCCCTAGTTTCCCCAAGTGCACATTACCTTATATAATAATACATTGAATTTGAATTTGACAAAAGTCTACAATTTAATGCCTCATGTTAAAGGAATCATACATTTTTAAAGAGAAAGGGGGGGGGGGGGGTAGTCCCCACAAGAACTACTAATATCCACCCCTTTTTATTGATAACCAAAAAGGTTTAAAAATAAACACTTATTACCTCTCCAAGCCTGGATGAATGAGAGTAACAGGGACGAACTCCGGAGCAAATATGTTCAACTCATTAACCAATCTATCCTTGCTTGAGGAAGGTTCATAGAAGTCCATGCTGTACTCAAATAAACTAGTTTCCATCATATTCAACTTCTCATGGGAATCTTTAAAATGAAGATTGTCAGAGCTCTCCTAAAGCAACATTAAGTTATTATTTAATAGTTTCAGTCTGATATAAACTAAAAGAGAACCTTCATGGAAGGGAAGTCTTGTTTTCTCCACACATCTGGTTCAATGTAGGACACCAACATTTCATCTGCCGGGTATTTATCCTAGGGTTGCGACAAATATAAATACACTTCAGTTAAAACATTAAGTGAATGAAATCAAAATCTGATGGTTAAAATACATACTATATTAAATACAAATGGAAACCTGCGAGTTCGAGAGCTTCTTGAATCTGGGAGGAACAGGAGAAGAGGATCGCCGACGGTTAGTTGGCTGAGGTGGTGATTTAGAAATACTAATAGAAGAGTTCAAAGACCGAGGCCGGAAACTCTCTGAGTTAAAAGTAAAAATATAAAACTAAGTTATTTCATGTTTAGCTAATTATCTTATAACTTAATGCTTACTGGTATAAAGATTGATCTCCTTAGCCTGAAGTTTGTGGCTGGGGTTAATACTTAGAGTACAGTTTAACTTCAGCCCAGAAGCTATGCTGGTCACACTTCCCAAGCAAACATCTTTTACATGAACCAGAACTTGAACCTGCAAAAAAATCAACAAATATTCATCGTTATTTATGTTAATTATAGTTTTCATATTTTTTAATATCAGAAACCTGATGATGTAAACCTTTAAGGGACCGTTCACTTATTTGGGTAATTTCAGGGTAAACTAAACAGACTATTTGCTATTGATTGGTAATAGTCTTACTTTTCAAAGACAACTGTGGCAGGAGAAAAAGCCGATTTTTCGTTCGGAATTTGAGCGCGGAAAGGAACGGTCCCTACAGACACTATTTGAAGTTTTTTTTTCAGTAACAGGTAATAGTGTGAATTTGTGTAGAAGAATATTGGATTGGATTAAAATTGATTATTATGAATATGGATTTAAGAAATTTGTGGAATTAAGTGTATGAATAAAGAGGAACAAAATTGCCTGCAAAATTATAGTCATCAAATTCTTAACATTTTGGTTTTAGAACTTGAATATGCCTTAAAAAACGTATTTTTACTTTTAGGAAAACCCTGAAACTTCCGGATTCATTGGATTTTTTTAGATTTTTTTCATATACATTTTTACGTTTGTCGAATACTAAGTTTTTGGATTTAAAATATATATCTTTTACATAAAAATGGTTACGAAAATATGTTTACGTCATATGCATGGAAAATGCGGATTTGTATGTATGCCAAACCTAAAAATGTATAAATTCGAATGTCTTATGCATTTTTAAGTTTTCTGGTAAGGGGGGGGGGGTGAGGATTAGAAAATTATAGTTTGATTAACAGCTCAGAACAGACAACAGTCCCATTTAACCAAAAATTATATTAAATCTTAAATCTTATCCATGGCTAGCGCACCACCACGACACAAACAATATATTGATGGTACACCATTGTTGAATAGTATAAGCTATGTATTACGTCATCTTTAGGAAGTTTGAGTGTTCCACTTTCTCCGTTCCAGGCTGATATGACCCCACTGACTCGCTGGGGGGTCATCACATCTGAAGCTGAGGTCATTTGCCTCACCTGAGAAATAGTTTGAACATAATAATAATAATAATAATAATAATTATTATAAGTTTATTTTTCGGCGTACATGATGTACAATATTTTTAATTAGTTATTTAAAATGTTGAACACCAGGGGGCTCAGCAAGCAATGTAGTGCCAAGAACCTTCTTTTAACATAAATATAAAACATGAATATACAATAAAATATTGATATAAATATTAATTAAAATTTTGTATTTCTATGGGGGGGGGGGCAAGGTAGAGGGGGGGGGTGCAGTTTGTTGTAGAAGCTGGAGTTCAAGGAAAAAAAACTTTTTACAAGAGGAGCCAGTCAAATATTATTAAAGAAAAAAATCTTTATCATTGCTGCTTGTTGTAACATTTAAAAGGATACAGATAAAATATTACAACCAAACATACATTCTTGCTTGGAGGAAAAATTATGAACTAGTGATAGATCTATCACATGAAGTGAGATGGGGCTGGAGATTTTTAAATGAATCTGAAAATTTAATTTTAAAAAATTTAAAAGCTTCTCACTAATGATAACAATTGATCAGCGCTTAGGATCCATTTCATTTTGATGCGGATCTGGATCTGGGATGGATCAGTCCTTAAAAAATGGATCCAGGTCATCAACATTTCTTTAAGATGACTAAATTGTTGCGGATCCGGATTCATTTAACTTTGGAGCAGATCCAGATCCGGAATCAATAGATCCAAGTCATGAACATTTCTTTAGTATTTATGATTTGTTGCAGATCCTAAGCACTGAAATTTAAGTTGTTTCCACCAAGCACCCCAGATTATTACCTGTGGCAAGGGGTTGTAGTTCACAAAGAAGAATATTTTCCTCCCAGGATGAATTACTCCTCCTCCCAACCCTGTCATACACTCATCTCCAAACTTCAGTTTTCCAAACTCCAACTATTCGGAAAAGGTAATCGTTCCCAAGAATAAGAACAATAAACAGAAATATTACTTACATAATCTTTCTTATTACTCCATTTCTCGACCCCATTTAAGTTTAAAAGTTAATTAGACAGCAAAATTATCTTTGTTTCCTGCCCAAAGGATGATTTCCATTCCTGGTTTGAAGAAACAGTTCCACATCTACTCTTCTTGTCGTAAGAGCTGATCTTCCCAAGGAATCTATATTTGCACAGGAACTGGTTCAGTTCATGCCTGATCAACACAAACTAACATTAGCCAGTCAGAAAATGATAGTATAAACCGGATTACAAATGCCCAATTTAACATTTGCCCAGGAAATACAATTGCAAGACTTTTAAATTTACCCAAAGCTACAAAAGTCGGAAGTTAGAAATCCTAATTATAAAATAATGTATTTAAAGCTAGGTTTGGAAACTTCCTTGGTGAAACTTAACATGCTTTGGGACAAGAAAAGGCTATAGGTAGTTTTAGTGATCGTTTTGGATCGTTATATGAAAAATTAATAAAACTTCGATATGCTGAATTTTGACCCTAAAAGAAAATATCACCAGCTATAGGGGACTGATTGCTTTGATTATTTTGTAAATTTCGGTTTATGAAATTTAAGATTTTGTAGCTTTAAGAAAATATAATGTCCATGTTCTGAAGTTGTATGCCAAATTCACAACAGAACAGCTTTAACCTTCATCGTAACACTAAAAATGATTAATATCCTGGGTGGCAATACAGCATTTGCTCTATGGCCATTTCCTATAGTTCCATATGCTCTATTTGTCATTTGCGGGCCAAACTTGAATAAGTGAAAATCACAGAGTTCGAAGATAATTTAACTGTTAAATGACAGTGTAGAAAACGCAGCTTTGAGTAGAAAAATAAAAAATAAACTTTGAAATTTAATTCATGACAGTTATTGAATTGCAGGAATTATTTTTTGGAAATTCGCTAATTCTAAAATCTAGCATCTTGAATCAGTTCTCCAAAGGTGATCAAGATGGCGAGACTGTTCAATAATAAGAGGAATAAGACTAGATAATTAGAGACTAAACTGTTATTTGGTGAAATTTTTTTTAAGAAACATTGAATTTGTAACAGAAAAAAATAGTAATATAATTGTAATATTGAATACTTAGAGATGGCAATACTTAAGATAGTAATACACAACATGTCTATAAAGAAGATGTCGTGTTTTCTCATAGAGAAAATGTGTAAAAGAGCAAAAGAACCAAGACAGTCGTAAAAATTTTTTTTGAGCAAATGACGTGTTTCCTCATAGAGCAAAGTTGAATAGAGCAAAGGTACCAAAACAGTCATAAATATTGTTTCATATATATATGCAATTAGAGATAAAGAAGGAAAAGTTAGAAACGAAGATATCTTATTCATTATTGCTTTGATATCGGGCATGCAACTCTTTGGTACAATCTTAAGATTTTTTAAAATCATCGCACTGCAAGCCACAAATTAAGATATTATTATTTTCAGAGCTGATCATAAAAAAATAAAATAAAAATATTCAAGATTGCCAGATTGTTGTCAACCTAATGTCTAGATATGATAAAAGAGATACGAACCTGTCGTCTGAGGGTTTATGAATAGATTTTTTCTTAGGTGTGACAACCTCCCAGTGTGCATCTGTTCCAGCAGAATCCAACAAGCACTATTCACATTAAAGTAAACTAATCAATATATTCTTAAGTACTTGTCAATTCTTAAGTATCAGTGGCGGTTTAAGGGGGAGAGGAGGGGACCTCCCTCGGAAAAATGTAGGCCACAACTTTATAAATGGGAAGACTTTTTGGTCCTTCTATTTTTGATTTTAACAAAAGATTTTTAAAAATCAATTATTTCTCACCCTTTATTCATCTACAAAAAGTTAACTCGTGGCACAAAGAATGATAAAATCATGGGGGAAATTTATCATATAGGGGGGGGGGGACTTCAGGTAGTGATAACGTCATTACAAATGACAAAGGCATGTCCGGTTCACATCGGTACCCTTTATAACCGTGTAAAAACATGGATAATTGAGATGATCATGGAAATTTGCGGTTCTCTATGAAAGATACTTTCGTATTTTTAGGTTATCAGTGTGAAACGGAAAACCAGTCTTTAAATGTAGGACATGGTCACCTGAAAATTGCGTTTGACATAATTTCTTACAAAAAAGTACTACATGTTGTCGTGTGTTCAAAATACTATTTTAAAGGGGGGAAATGGGGGTTAGTTAAAATCTGTAATCCATTGACTTCAAAAGTAAACCTGGTTTCGTTGATTAGGGGTTCCCTTCTGCTTGGAGACAGCTTCACATGGGTCTTGGTTTTCATTAGTTTCTTCGGAAAGTTTGGCACTGCAGTTTCCTTTTCTTTTATCAACGCCGCGGCCGGAAGGAAGCAAACGAATGTTACAAGCTTCGAGTTTGTTTTTCCCGATAGTTCGAAGAGTATATCTACAACGGCGACCTATATTCTCCCTTCTTCCCTCCAACCTGTTCAAGAACTGGTTTGCGGAGAACTGGACAAGGGAGTAGTTTAGATCATCTTTAATTAGACCTCGTCCTTCTCCAGTCCATTTCAGCAGTACTCCTTCGCTCACCAAGGATCCGTCCTTCTTTCGTGTTCTTGAGTCACCCATTTTCTCGTATTCTGAAACTGATTTAGTTTGTTTATAAAACTTTACCTGGACGTGCCTAATACAATGGCAGATACAAATACAATGCAATAAAATGGTCGGAAGATTGGTCTAGAACGTGACCATATTTTCTTGAGTCAGTGCTTAAGATCCATTAAATTTTGATCCTGTATCCGCCAAGAATAAAAATGGATCCATATCCAGGTCATTAACATTTCTTCAAGATTTACTGATTTATTAAACAAATGTAGAATTTTTAAATTATTTTACTTCTTTAATTTTAGGCCAAAACTAAATGAAACAATCAGGAATAAAAAATGTTAAATGTTTTTGGTTGATAATGATATCTTGCTCCTTGGATCCTCATAATTTTGTGGATCCGGATACAGGAAGTCAAAATGTTGCAGATCCAACGTATCCGGATCCTAAGCACTGATTTGAGTGATCAGTTATGAAAATAAAAAGACACGAGAACAAAAAAGGTAATTGATTAGGACTGATTTCTATGAAGACGGTGTCTAACCAACATTCAGGCGCCTCCATTAAAACGGAAAAATGCGCTGACCCCGAAAAAATAAAGAATTGAAACTCAAAATGAAACAGATTCCATTTATTATCCTCTTACACTCTTTATCTTGCATCTTTAACCCGTCTTTTATCCTAGATCTAGTTTTTCTTCAGTCTTCAGAGGTCGAAACTGTTTTGTAAATCTCGGTATCAAGTAGCTGTCGTGTCTTTTGTCCACCGAAGGATTAAATTCATTCCTCTCAGATAAACCGTGGCCAGGGATAAATAAAGTTAAATAATTAACCACTTTCCCTAAAATTCAAAAACTGGCCCTGTGGATATTGAGATCAAGCGTGGGATGGATTCGCGTCATCAAAAAGTATTGGACCCCTTGTTTCGTCTGATAGTTTCACATTATAATCTCATCTTGTCCTGTTTGAACACTTGGTTATAAAGCTATGTTAAGTATACTCAGAATGCTTGTATTCCCTACTAACCGGAAATCCTTCAAGTATGACATTCGTAAATATACGTATCTATAAGTTTGGAATACGTAAAAATACCTATTTTAAATTTGTAAAAATACGTACATGACAAACGTAAAAATGCGAATGTAAAAACCTTTAAAATCCAATTTTTACGTAAATATACCCAAAAAAAAGTATACCTCTGTAGAGGTTTTAGTATTTTTAGGTTTTCGGGTTAGTAGGGTTATGATTGTATAGAAGTAAACACGTGAGATTTTCTGGATCAGGCAGCGCAGGAGGATTAGTGAAGTGCGGTATTTAGCTCTATTAGACCGACATTAAGAGTTTAATCTTTGTCGCCACTCTCTTTTCACAAATATTGTCACTCTCGTCGTTTTAGTGCCCACTTCATTATCAAAACAGTTCTGAAACAATGAGTTATAAATATTTACTTTTACTTCAATACTTACACTTATACTGACAATTTAAACAAGAAGCGTACTGTACTGTACACTTGTACGATTGTACTCAGTGACTTTTTAACAAAATCGGTTATTAAGAAGTTATTTGTATTGCCTCTATTGTACGAAAGTATTGATTTTCATCACTCAAACCAAAATTTAGTTAATAATTTTCAAATAACTAGACTGTAACAACATATATGATTTTGTATGGCACTATTACAGGTTCATAATTTTCTTTTCTAAATTCAAGCGTGGATTTACATGTTAGTATTTTAAAATTTTACAATGTCAAATTTTTTTAATGATCAAAAGCAGAAATATTAAGCTTTGCAAATTATTAAGTTCTCAAACATTGTTACATTAAATCTCAATTCTAGACACACGATCAATTTTAGGTTAATATTTGGGTGTGACCAACTACTGCTGAAAAACATATCCAGTCATGGCCATGCACTGGTGGTTTACATCTCCTGGAAGGAGCCTTGAATGCTGCTACTCCTACTTCCACTGCTGCTGGTCTCTGTATGGCTCTCGAACTCTGCAGCCTATCATATCAAGAAGTTCATTGGTTATTAGATTTTAATGTCTTGATTCCTAAGTGTAACTGAATACAGTGGTCAGCATTCATATCAAAATAATAAAGACGGCTTTTCTATTTAAGTTTTGATTTTTTAGCAAGCTTTTTTCAAATTACAAGTTCACAAGTAAACAAAGAAAAACTGTTATTGAAAGCTTCTTATTGTTTCCATGTTTTTGTGTATCCATACTATTTGAAAGCTTGATAGAAATGAAAAAATTGAGATAGAAAACCGTCTCTATTGTATTAAGGACTGTACCTACAAACGTGGCTTTGTAAACCATTTTTAAACCACTCTTATTAAGTTATAATTTTATAGATATGATGCAGTTACAATATTAATAAACAACTCTCATCTGAATCATTACTTGGATGTTAGAATTTAAATATGATATTAATAATATTATAGTCTCTCATCTGACGTTTATATGATTTTTTTTTGATTTTTTTTCTTATTAACTTATGAGATTTTGGGATTTATTAAAAATTCACAAAGCCCTCATATATCCCCGGTTGCTTTTGATTGCACATTTTAAATCATATCGATGTGGTCTTTAAAAAAATTAAGTTTTCCATTTAACCATTTGTTTGTGTTAAGCATGAATGTAATGCAACAAAAGTTAATTGCATGTTGCTTATACTCTGCGTACATATTGAAACCAGTTCTCTCTGGGCGGAATTTGTAAACAAGAATAGATGCATCAGTGTTCGTTTAGTATAGGAGGAGGTTAAAAGCATTGAATTTTGATAACTCACATAATAGTTTCCTATGACCAGAATGTTTCATTGATTATTTAGGTGAAAGATGGATCCCATGTCAGGCTTCGAAATCCGTCTTGTGTTTAAATTACCGCCCAGTGACAGTACACTGCAGTGTACAAAACATGCGTACACTTCTAAAATAACTTTCCACGCATTACATCCTTGGTCTTAAGGGACTGTGACGTATTTTCAAGTGATCTTTCATTAAATTTGTTTATTAGTAACAGTACTTTGAACCCTTAACAGTGAACATTTTCATCTGATCAGTATTACTAACCTAAAGCTATAGGTAAAGTTTGCTGTACTAATTTACTATATAAGGTGCAAAAATAGAGTAGAGTGGGATTCCTGTTGTGTGCAATGTCCCGTAAAATTCCAAAACAGAGAGAGGGGGATTGAATTTTGTAGATCCAGAAAAATAATTAGTATTTGATTAGGGTGAGGTTAGGTTAAGACACTTTCTGGGGCAAGCGCTGCGGCTAGGACAGGCTAGGGGGCCGAGCGCTGCGGCCACTGGTTAGGTTAAGTTATGACACTTTCTGGGCCGAGCGCTGCGGCTAGGACAGGCAAGGGGGCCGAGCTCTGCGGCCCCATGTCTTACATATAAGACCCCACCAGCTGCCAGTCTCCACTCAGGCATCCCACAGATTAAAGATATTATTTTTCTGGATCTACAAAATTCAATCCCTCTCTGTTTTGGAATTTTACGGGGCATTGCACACAACCGGAATCCCACTCTGCCAAAATAATTCTCTCTCTTTTAAGTTTATAAAAAAATTATTCTTAATCTCTGTACAGAATTAAGGTAACATTAACGATACAAATATTAAATAAGACCAACCTTCTGGAGAAGTTTAATTTTGATTGGTCCCACGAATTGTTCCTGCTCAGTTCTTAAACATTCCTTCTTCTCCAGGGTTAGCATTGAGAAGAAACTAGTCGCACCCTTACTCCGCTGTGTATGTTCAGGAGGACAAACTAGGAAACAAAAACATTGCGCTAACATTTTTCAAACCAGTACTTAGAATCCGGATCCGTAACATTTTGGCTTCTTGGATCCGGGACTCGGATCCACGGATTCGAATCTAACGGGCGAAATATCAAACAAACAAACCCCCCCCCTCACTCCTATCAATTTTGTACATGGGTCTGACAAGAAGTGTCTTAACTTAACCTTACCCGTGGCCGCAGCGCTCGGCTCCCTAGCCTGTCCTAGCCGCAGCGCTCGGCCCAGAAAGTGTTTTAACTAACCTAACCCGTGGCCGCAGCGCTCGGCCCAGAAAGTGTCTTAACCTAACCTAACCCTAAATAACAAAAAAATAAATAATAATAAATTTGCTGAAAAATAAATGGTCATGTACAAGATTGATAGGAGGGGTAGGGGGTCCAAAAAATCGTTCACTAGGACAGACCCAAACCTTTTGCTATCAAACCCAAAACTGAGCTATAGAAAAAATTAGATTATTAAAAATTTCTTTATTTCTCAATGGTTCATTAAGTTTTAGTATCAAAATGCATTTTAAAAAATAATTTGAAAATTCTTCTTTTCATGACCTGAATCAGGATCCAGGATTCAGATCCGTATCCGCACCAAAATGTAATGGATCCTTAGCAGTGTTTCAACTCTTTCTTACTTAAAAGTTAAATAAGACGTTTAAAGGACTAAACCTGTTGAGAAGTAAGTGAAGAACTCATCATTCTTCTCCTCACAGACCTCCTCCACTGCATTCAGGAACTCCCTCGTAGAAGTGGCCAGAATCTCCATCTCTTTCTCAAATGCAAATTCATCAGTCCGCTGCACGTCATCTGGAAAACCGTCCGGAGGAGGGATATCATCATGACCCTCTTGAGGAGGGAGAACTTCAGCGATGTCCTCTTGAGGAGGGAGAACGTCAGTAATGTCCTCTAGAGGAGGGAGAACGTCAGCAATGTCCTCTAGAGGAGGGAGAACGTCAGCAATGTCCTCTTGTGGAGGGAGAACGTCAGCAATATCCCCTTGAGGAGGTTGGACGTCCGCAATATTCTCTTGAGGGGGAAGGACGTCAGTAATGTCTTCCTGATGTGGTTGCCCAACAGCAATAATATCCTGAGGCGTAATATCTGGGTCGCCAATCTTCTGAACATAATTAAGTATTGCGTAAATCATTAAAAGACTTAATTGCATTTTCAGTGTCATAACTAATCAGTAAGTTATGACTCCATGGATTTTGGTGAAAATAACACATCCGCTACATGGTATATACCTATAGCGGAGTAAAACTTATATAAACGGAATGCAAGTGAAAAATTGACTGAATTGAGAGTATTGATTTTTGTTTTTGTAATTTGGAAGTGTTTCACAATGAAATTGATGGGCGGATTTTTGGTAATGTCAATTTGGTAATGACAATTAATCAGGGTTGCCAAAACTTTTTTGAAAAAATCCGTACATTTTCAGAGGAAATCCGTACAATCCGTACAATTTTCGAAAAAAAATCCGTACAATTTTTGAAAAAAAATCCGTACAATCCGTACGTTTTTTTAACAAATTCGTACAATCAGTACAATTTTCAAAAAAAAATCCCTGGAATCCTTAGAGAACTAGAGAACTAGAGAACTAGAGAACTAGAGAACTAGAGAACTAAAGAACTAGAGAACCAGAGAACCAGAGAACAAGAGAACCGAACCATAAAAACTAGAGAGCTAGAGGACTAGAGAACTAGAGAACTAGAGAACTAGAGAACTAGAGAACCAGAGAACCGAACCAGAGAACTAAAGAGCTAGAGAGCTAGAGAACTAGAGAACTATAGAGCTAGAAAGCTAGAGAACTAGAGAACTAGAGAACTAGAGAACTAGGAACCAGAGAATTAGAAAACCAGAGAACCAGAAAACTAGAGTACTAGATAATAGAGAACTAGAGAACTAGAGAACCAGAGTACCAGAGAACTATAAAACTAGAGAACTAGAGAACTAGATAATAGGGAACAAGAGAACTAGCGAACTAGAGAACTAGATAATAGAGAACAAGAGAACTAGAGAACTAGAGAACCAGAGAACCAGAGAACCAGAGAACTAGAGAACCAGAGAACTAGAGAACCAGAGAACCAGAGAACTAGAGAACTAATGAACTAGATAATAGAGAACTAGAGAACTAGAGAACTAGAGAACCAGAGAATCAGAAAACCAGACAACCAGAGAACCAGAGAACCAAAGAACCAGAGAACTAAAGAACCAGAGAACCAGAGAACTAGAGAGCGTTGATTCTAATTTTTAAAACTGTTTAGATCAGTGTGTAGGCCATATAACAACCAAACAATCAAGTTATAATTAGAAAGAGTGAAGTGAAGATTTAGGATCTAATATAATTAAAAATAGCGTGGTACAGGGGTTGCACACTCAGTTAAAAGAAAGTTAATATTAAACTAAAAATGAAAAGATTTACAGATAAACGGAAGAAACCTGAGAGGATGTTCTCAGATCTGATAAAGAGACAGATAGATAGATAGATAGATAAACAGACAGACAGATAGATAGACAGAGAAACAGATAGACACATACACATATAGATAAACAGAGAGACAGATAGGATTTATAAACAGATAAATAAAAAGATAGATAAACTGACATGCAGATAGATATACAGATGGATAGACAGGTAGCTAGATAGATAGCTAGACATATAGCTAGACATAGAGCTAGACAGATAGATAGACAGATAGATAGACAGATAGATAGCTAGACAGTTAGCTTGACAGATAGCTAGACAGATAGACAGATAGATAAACACATTCTCAAATGAACACTTCTGGAACATATTCTCAAATGAACACTTCTGGGATCTCGAAAATTATGAATGAATTTTGATTGTCAATTGAAACGTTAATCAATCTAATATTATTTAGAATGCAGAAAATAAGTTAAACTAACTTCATTTTGACGAAATTTTTTTTTGAAATTTTCATGAAAAACTTGCTGAAATGAGTGAAAATTTAAAAAAAACGGTGTATTTCCAGGATAAAAAAACGTTCAATCCGTACAATTTGAAAAGAAATCCGTACAATCCGTACAATTTTAGGGTTACAAAATAAAAAATCCGTACAATCCGTACATTTTGGCCACCCTGCAATTTGGTACCAAATTGTCACCTTACCAAATTGTCATTACCAAATTGTCATTACCAAATTGACATTACCAAAAATCCGCCCGTCATGAAATTCTCCTGACGAAATGTATTTTTTAAAAATACTTAATAATTCGTTTATGCTGCAGTCGAATGAAAGTGTCATTTAAAACTGAGTCAAGTATAAAAATTGAATTTGCATGAAGTGCTTCGGTTATCAATGAATGATTTATGTAAAATACAATTCTGTTCTCTGATTTGAAGGTTTTTTACCTGTTTTTTCAAACAAGGAATCCGAATTAAATACTAGAGATTTGTTGGTCGTTATTTTTAAAGCCCTCTTTTAATTTATGCCGACCCAACTCAAATAAACTAATATTCCTGAAGGGCAGGATTTTTGATAATTAAGGAACGACATCAAAATCGTCTTTAATTTTTGAAATAATTTAGAACATTCATGTGTTCACCTAAAATGATTTACGAAACAATAATCACAAAATTATAGCCAATTTACATTTACAAACCGTTGTTTACATTTTTTTACTTCCAATATTACCAGAAATAATTGCCGACTGCAGAGGCGTAAAAGGGGGGGGGGCTGGGATCCGGATTGGCGAAAACTATGGTTACCAAGGGTTTCAAGCCTTGAAGCCTCAAATGTTGAATCGCTCAGCCCCCCCTCCTGAATGATGTACCTGGACAGAATTTTCTTGGGATTTCTCCGTAATGATATCCAACCTGGGAGGCTCCTAAAACAATTCAGATAACAGCGGTTGAAGATTTCGAACCAACTTTTTCATTACTAACCTTACTTTGCCTGGGTTCGAGGCCATCCTGTGACCGATTTATAGAAGTGTTTAAACTAAGCCTGCTATTCTGACCTGAAATAAATCTTTTCATTTCTTATTTTCAATAAAATAACTTCAGATTTCTATTGATTCAAATCTTTTTGGCTTTTATTTTGTAGGTGGTAAACTAAGTATTTATTTGGATTTTTTTAATGAGATGAGGTTATGTGAGAACATAAAAATGTTCTCAAAATAGAACGGTTTAGAATTTATATCTAGATCATACAGGGTGTCCCACATCAAATTAGACCGCATCAATGGGTCTAAATTACGATTTGGGGGGAAAATCAGAAAATTTAAGAAGAATGAATGTGTGTATTTTGAAGATTGAAGATAATCTAATATTATATGGGACGCTCTGTATCTACCACTAGGTATTATTTTTTTATTTTTCTTTACCAACAGATAATGTCAGTTTTTTCAAAATATATTGTTAACAGGCTGTTATGGGGGGGGGGGAAGAGAGGAAATGGTTTTTTATGATCTGGGGGGAAAAATAATAAATTGGACATCAAAAGACAAGTATTTTCTCATTTCATAGTTTTATCCCAACACCCCCTCACCCCTCCCACTTAAAAATTAATTCATTTATTTTATTTAGCGAGTAAGTGCATTATTTACAAGAAATTAAACACCACTTGTGGTTAATCAGCAAACTTATACTTTTTACTTAAAATGCTAGTTTACCTATAGCGGAGATTGCGGAGATATTATTTGAATTGTTAGCAGATATATTTCTCATAATCATATCCTCCTCAAAATCATTTACAGTCACTGTTTTGCAAACCCTGAGCTGTTTGTCCCAGTGTTTACTGAGACTACCCCCAAACTTCCTGCCAGACCCGGAGAAATTAAAGCTTAGACCAATGCTCACTGAATCCTTCTTCAGAAGTAAGTCCTATCGAAAAAAGTTACATGGTAAAAAAGAATGTGTCTTCACGAAATTTAATAAATCTGATAAATGATAAAATTTTACTCACCCCGTCGTTGTTAAGGTTTGCATGGATCGTTTCCATTGAAAGTTGCTTGTCTGGAAGAAAATTATATTAAGTCCACCTTTTTTAGTATAATTGTTATTAATTTATTAGTAGCTTATAATTTTACCTTTATCAATTTTAAGCATATTCCTCGGTTGTCTTGTAGACTCCTTCTTCTTCTTCAAGTAATAATATTATTTGTCAGCGTTATATCTTTTTATTTAAAGAAACCTACCTTTAAAACGAGAGGACGGAGAACTTCTGTTGGAGTTTCATTATCATTTCCTGCAGCAGGTCTATCAATAGGTTCCTCGCCAATTCCAGGTTCACCAGCCTCTTGTTCTGTTTCAATCTGCTCAGATACTTCACGCACAGTAGGCACTTGGATGTCCATGTTAGGCACATCGATGTCCATGTTCAGAGGCTCTTGGATGTCCATGTTCATGGGCACCTCGATATCCACGTTGAGAGGCTCTTGGATGTCCGTGTCCATGGGCACCTCGATATCCACGTTGAGAGGTACTTCCATCCCGATGTTGTCAGGCAAGAATACATCGTTCTCCAGATTCTTGTCTTGGATCTCCGGTTGCTCGTCCTGACGAAGCAAAGATAAAAACTAGGAGTGAGAGCTAGAAAATAGTGATCTTTTAGTCGTCTACTAATCCTTTTCATTATGAAAGTCAATACTGAGCTGAAAACTTTAGAATGAAATATCCAGATATCCCGTCGAATAATTAATCTGGAGTTTAAATTCATGTGGAGAACAAGCAATATTTAATCTGGATATCAAGAAATTATGAGCTTCTCTGGATATTTCATTCTAAAGTTTTCAGCTCTGATCTTTTATTTTAAAACTGAGCTGAAGGCTGAAACTAAAGTGCCCTGAACATTTTTTAGAGAGTTATCCTAGAATCAACAATTTTAAATCTTTAATTTAAGAAAGATCAAAGACTACATTTATTTCACAGTTATCTGATTCTCTAGAAACTCATTTAATTTTTCTATCCATTCATTTCCCGGAGGGGGGGGGGGGGGATTCCTAAAACCCCTGCTTTTCTCTAAACCTGAGAATTATCACCAGAGAAGAGGTTTCTGGGAGTTCTTCTCCTCTTCTGAATCTCGAGAGCTGGGGTTACAAGATCCAGCTGAGTGGGAACCCTAGAAATGGTTGAATTTAAGAATTATGAAATCCTAGAAACTACTTGATAGTTTTCTACCAAATTCTTGCTTAGTCCTGTTTATATATGTTTCCATCTCTTTTAAAATAAGATCACCAAAAAAATCATAATTTTCAAAACTATGATTATCTTTTTTTTATTAAAAATTCAAGGTTTTCAAGGAAACTTTCATGACAACCTAAAACTCTATGAAAGGAACTGTAGAGGTTGTTTTAAGGTGCCTTTCCATTTGACATTGGCGTTCTTTTATCAAGAATGCATGAGAAATATGTTCATGATCTTCTCTTTTAATTTGAAAAAAAAAAAAATATTTTTCAATTATAGTTTCTCTGTAAGAATAAGGCTTAAGTTGTGCAATGTGCATTTCTGCCACAATGCAAAGAAGTAAAATGTCAGAATTAAACACTTTTCAAGCTATAAAAACGACGATACCCTCCAAATTATTGATCGGTTCAAGAACTTCTTGAAATTCAAATTGCTGTTTTAAAGATAAGTTATTGGAGAACTTCGAGAAGTGGAAAGCTGTACACTGTACAGTATGAAATTTCATCCTGTAAGGGCCCTATTGTAATATACTCTACATAGTGAGGCTTAACCCTTTCAAGACATGAAGTTTGTGCTCAGAGATGAAATTAATTCTACGCTGAAGAGGAGGTCAACCTAAGTTCAAAATGTATAAAAAATCAAAATCTTTGACCGAGGGAATCCTGAATAAATCCAATTTAAAGATTTGAAGAATTTCAGGTTTCAAATATGATCGCACACGACTATTTTAGAACAAACACATTAAGTACGACCCTTATTATTTTTGCCATTTCTGGGGGTGTCATAAAACTTGATATTTCTTCTAAAACGACTCTGAATGGCAGTTTCTGCGCTAAGCTAACAACATTTTAGATTACAAGGAGAAAAAACAGTTTATGCACACAATCTCTGTATTTTATAAAACAAATAAAATTTTTATCTCTTTTTTAAACCTTTTTATGTCAAGGCTGGAGATTGAAGATTAAGGAACACTTATCCTTATGTGTGAAGGGACTATGTGAAGTATGCATGTTCTATTCATGTTTGTATGATCTCTATACCTGGGTCGAAGAGGAGCATCTGGGATCATATTTTCGTCTTCTTCTTGCATAATTGTCACCTCGTCTCTCTTAATAAGAAAATTAAATAAAAAAGATTTTTAGCTTTTGAAGTTTTTGCTATTTAAGTCGATCCACTAAATTTAGACTCTCAACCCCAAGCTAAGAAAATTCCCGTGATTCTCACGAGTTCCCCAATCAAAATATAAGGCAAATCGGCCAAGGAGTTGATGGGTTATGATCGGACATAAAAACAAACAAACACCCAAACAGACACCCGAAAAAAAAACAATCAAACAAGCAGCAAACAGAGATTACAACTTTGTACATATAGAAAAATATTCTGGTATTTGGAACCTATTGGGGATTAACTTTAAATTGTCCTCATGTTTTCTAACATTGATAAAAATAAATTATAAAAATAATATATATACCCTCGGTGATTTCTTTCCTTTCTTAGGATTTGCGACATCATCGTCAGCACTTCTTTTTCGTCCGCCTGGTCGCCCATCTTTCTTCTCTTCTTCAGCGGAAACCTCAAGATCTGTAAGCACATTAAAAAATAATCAAGAATATGTTGTGATAACAAAAACTTTTCATCCGATATTTTACATGACTCTAAAAGCTTTTCACTCTTCCTTTTAAATTTCTAGCCTTGTTTTATGATCGCACACCATCATGTATTATTTCAGGATATACATTATATATGTAGCATTCTAACAAGGTAATATAATTCAGTTTTAAAATTGTAAAATTAATTAATTTGTTTTTGTTCTCTGACAATTTTGTAATTCTGAACAGTATCTAGCAATAAGCTATATTTCACTGTTATTTTTAGGTCCAGTGGCTGGAAGACGACATTTTATATTGAAACAATTTACTGTGATACCTGGAGCAGGAATATCAATCTTGTCCTGAGCTGAAACCTGAAGCGTAATTCCACCAGCTTCACTTTCAAGGAAGTTGTCAAGAAGATCACTAGTCTCCCCGTTCCCTCGTGGAAGAATTTCTCCAAACCCATTATCCAGCATAGATCCACCAAAGGCGTCAAAAGCTCCCTAAAAGAAAACGTTCAACCATAAATTTTCTGTTCTTCTTACCATCAACATTAAACACGAAAAAAGACTGTTGAGTCAATGATCGTAGTTTACCTGTGAAGGAAGATCTATGGAGTTGCCTAACTCTAACTCCGAGGGAAGTTGATACATGTCAACCCTGTTCTTCATTCTTCCCCAGTCAATATCAACCGCCATCTCCGCCGGCAATACGTAGGCTTCAGTCCCCGGTAAGCAGTCAATCTCCTGCACTTCCTCCCGCCGAGTTGATTTGTTTTGGTTTATCCGCCGGTATACAAAGTCAACCTAAATATAACATCTAGTAGCCCTCACTTGAAAAAAAGGTCTTGATAGAGTTTTTAAAAAGAAGAAAATGAGGAAGTATGTTTGAGAGTTATGACAGAGTATATAAGCAAAAACAGTAGAGTATAAGAAGAATTGGTATAGTATAAGAATGATAAAGAAGATCGAGTATAAGAAGGATAAAGAAGAGTATAAGAATGATAAAGAGTATAAGAAGAATTGGTAGAGTATAAGAATGATAAAGAAGAGTATAAGGGATAAAGAAGAGTATAAGAAGAATTGCTATAGTATAAGAATGATAAAGAAGAGTATAAGAAGGATAAAGAAGAGTGTAAGAAGAATTGGTATAGTATAAGAATGATAAAGAAGAGTATAAGAATGACAAAGAAAAGTATAAGAAGAATTGCTATAGTGAAAGAATGATAAAGAACAGTATTAGAAGGATAAAGAAGAGTATAAGAAGAATTGGTATAGTATAAGAATGATTAAAAAGAGTATAAGAAGGATAAGAAGAGTATAAGAAGGATAAAGAAGAGTATAAGAATAATTGGTATAGTATAAGAATGATTAAAAAGAGTATAAGAAGGATAAGAAGAGTATAAAAAGGATAAGAAGTTTATAAAAAGGATAAGATAAGAAGAGTATGAGAAGAATAGAAAGAATATAAGAATAAGATTTATTTAAGAAGAATTAGAGTATAAGGATTTATACAGTTTAAGAAATATTAGGAGGCTTTGGAAGGAAAAGTACAGTATATGAAGGATTAGTAGGAATATATTAAGGATTAGTAGATTATATGAAGGATTAGTACAGTAAATGAAGAATTAGTCGAGTATTAGAATTAGTGGAGTATATAAAGGATTAGTAGAGTACATGAAGGATTATTAGATTATATGAAGGATTAGTACAGTGCATGAAGAATTAGTAAAGTGTAAGAAGGAATAGAGGGAAAGGAAGAAAAACCTTGAACTTGAGATTGATGGATAGGCCGTGGAGAAGGATACTATTAACATGAAGAGAGAAGCTCCGTTCCTTTCCTCGAACAGGTAACATTCTTCTCAGCTCCATGTTCTGTTCGATCAGATCATTTGCCAGCATTAACTTCTCCTCAAGCTTCCTAGAGATATTGGATGGTTGTGTATGGGTAGTTGTTGCCTCTCTAGGCCGGATACAAAAAGAGACTAAGTGTTAGTCCAGTCTTATGACTTGGTGAATAATTCTATGGTCCCTTTATTTTTGTAACCTGATTGTGTAAACCTTTGATATTTCAAACTTTGACTATTTCATATTTCATATCAACTTCAAATTCATGAGATATTACAAATAAGCAATCATAATTTACTTTGCAGTTTGGACCCGCCTAACCAGGGTTGGTTGTTTTGAGTGGTTGGCCCGAAGTTAATTAACGATACTGAATATAATTGGTTACACATATCAAGATATGTTTTGGATAATTTAGGAGTTGATTGGAAGGAAGGAGATTGTCAGGTGATCTGTGACAGGGTGAGATCAGAGGGATTTTTATGTAGAGATAAATTAAAATACAGGGTGTTAATGATGGTAGATACAGAAACATAATGAGCTATTAAAGTTTCAGTTATTTTAGATGTTTTTTTTTAATTATTCACACGATATACAGCTAGGTTTTTCGCATTTAAACCTCTCATAATTCTCAAGATAAATATTGATTACTCTTTGATTAAATATTTTTGCAGATTTAGTTTCTTTAAGGTCAAATTCAATTTCATTCCACAATTTAGGAAACATTGCGGACGGAAAGCTTTCTAAAAAGAAATAGGGATAAAAACTTACTTTGTGGCTAAAATTCATTTCCTTAGTATGCTCTGTGGAAGAATCGGATAAATCTACTTGACATAAAAAAAAACAAATTTATGATAATAAGAAGCCTGGAGTATGGGTCCGATATCAACATTCATCATTATACAGGGTGTCCCAATAAACATGGAAATTCAGTGACGAATTTGATATCGTCTTTTTAAATAATTCTTTGATTTAGTATAGTGATTAGTGATACCTAGTGAAAAAGCTGTAATCTGTAAGAGTTTCGTCTGCTATGTTCACATTTTGTTTGTTTATGTTTTGGCTGCGTAAGGGTGTACTTGGTAAAACAAGAAAACTGCAGTATACAAACAGAGTAACTTGTCCGTCTTCACTGTTCAATGTTCATCTTGCGGAGACATTATAGACACAATTTCTACAGTCTTCTACCCTTATCATAGCAGACATAATAGTACTATGGCTTTTGAAATTAGGTATTACAATGCTAATTCATAACAAAGACGATATCCAATAGGTCACTGAATTTTTTTGGGACACTCTGTATGATAATTTGCATTTCTTAAATCGGAAGAATCAAGTAGAAATTTATGGGATGATGGTAGACGTAATTTGAAGTCAACTCCTAATCATAAATAAAATTCTCGATTTTTAAAGGTAACCTTTAAATCTTGTATATGACAATAAGAAAGATATTGACGTTTCTCTGTATTGGAAAGATGTAAATTCAGTCCATTGCCTCTGCTGCATAGATGCTTACTTAGTTACTTAAATATATTTAATTAATCGCAAACGCTAACTTACCGGGATACCTGGAGGGTTGCTTGGCTAATAAATATATTTAATTAATCGCAAACGCTAACCTACCGGGATACCTGGAGGGTTGCTTGGCTAATAAATATATTTAATTAATCGCAAACGCTAACCTACCGGGATACCTGGGGGGTTGCTTGGCTAATAAATATATTTAATTAATCGCAAACGCTAACCTACCGGGATACCTGGGGGTTTGCTTGGCTAATAAATATATTTAATTGATAGCAAACGCTAACCTACCGCACATATAAGATTCAGCCTGCTTATAAACAGTCTCATCACTTTTTAAGACAGGATTGACTTAGAAGTGTCGCAACGCCCTAAGCTTAGATTTTACCGCTCTAACTCACTGATGCTTTTCTGTAGCCCTTTACGTTTACATTTTAGCACTGTAAAGCACTTGCTGTTAGTTTTGGTTTTTAGAAGTAATTGGCAAAATTCTCAACAATTTCAGCTTGAGAGCGTGAGCCGCCAGTGACCGGCATACCTAGGGGATTTCTTTTAGCAGAGAAAAGAATGAAATCGAGTAAAATTATTTCTTTTACGACAGAAATACTTTTCTTTAGAAATCGCAACTGAAAATGATGGAAAAACACCAAACTCTATTTAATTTTTGCTGCAACATACGTTAAAACGGCATTAAACTATTGAAATGGGTGTTAGTTTGAAATCAGATTTCTTTAATATATTTCTGTCCCCTGCAAACTGGGCACAAGGAAGTGCAGAATTTCTACATTAGTGGTACGACTTTGTGACCTCGTCACTCCATTAGAAATACAAATAGTTTTTTCTCCTTAGATTTACAATTAAATTAAATTAGCGTGGTGCCTCGTAGTCATCTAGCCTTAAACTCAATGATTTCCATGCGCTACAACAATTTATGAGCGACACTTCTGCTATTTTTATATTTTGAATTCCGACTAGATTGAGATGATTTAGAGCAGTGCCTCAGAAAACTGACCAATCTGAAGACGACCTAAAGGGGACTCTGTAATATCAAGTGACTCTAAATCTAACCCATAAAATGCCCGATTCACAACAGTCCAATAAGCCTTTTTTAATAAATTATTGGCAAGATATCTTTGTATTTCTGTCGTGTAAGAAATAATTTCACCCACTCCCATTCTTTTCTCTGCTAATAGAAAGCCCCCAGGTTTGCCGGTCAGTTGGCGTTTGCGGTTAACTGGATAGTTTATTAGCCGTGCATCAGGGTATTACTTTTTATAAATATTAACACCAGTGCTTAGGATCCTTTTAATTTTGTTGCGGATCCGCACTGGAAAAAATGGATCCGGATCCAGGTCATTTCTTTAAGATTTACTGAATTTCTTTAACAAAAAAAAATATTTTTCAAACCATTCAGAAATGAGGAAATTCTCATCATCTCTCTTTTTTCAAAAATCAGATTTGGGTTTACGGAGTAAATTTTTTTTTGCCGTTTTTAGTTGATATTTTACCCCTTGGATCCCCATGTTTTTGCGGATCCAGATCCAGGAAGCCAAAATCTTCAAGATCCAACGGATCCGGATCATAACACCCCTCCTCTCGTACAAGCATTGCCCAACATTAATTCAGGGAGATTCTACGGTCCAAACAAACCTTTTCTTCTCCTGAGAAACTGAGACACCAAGTAACCAGATCATATTGAACTTCCCACCCTTGGCGGTCAGCAGATCCGTGGAGTAGAACATTTTCTTATCTATGTCAAGTGGCGGAACACAAACATATCAGATGATAGATCACATAAACATTAATAAATAGCTTTATCACATCTCTCACATCATAATATTAGATTTTAATTGAACAGAAAATGTTGAAATAAATATTTCCAATAATAATAAATATAAATATTGTGGTTTTTCAGCACTTAACCTCTACTGTTTACATAATACATAGTTTAGCTTCTCTGTATGTGTTTCATCTCATTTCTTCCTTAGTTTGACTGTCTCGAGTCAGTAGTCAGTTTCAGAAGCTGGTTTTCTAATCCCTTCGGAGAATTTCCGTCCCATACATTTAGGTTTCTTTATTTTCTTTTGTAGATTTTACAATGAATTCTCTGTAGTTTTCACAATACGCTCCAATAGAGATAGTACTCGTCAAACTTCTCCCTTTGATTCCTGTGCAATAGTTCGTGCACCCATCTTAAAATAAAACTCAACAAGGCTTTTGATGAAGTATTTAAGAGTTGTAGAAAAAAATTGAGTTCTTCATTTTACAATTGGTGTCTTCGGAAAATCCGAGTTTCGAGGGCACATAAATTCTAACAATTTACTTTATTAACTGAAAAAAACCTTCCGCGACTAGATACATATCTATTTTTGCCTAACTTGAACTAGAATATAGTATAACCCATGCGAGGTTGCATAATTAACACAGATTTATCCAAATATAGAACTGTTAAGAGTAACTATTAAATATAGAACTATTAAATTTTTATCCGTCTGTGCCTCACATTGCAATGTTTCTTTGTGAAGGGATGAACAAATACATTTTTCCAAACAGACGAATATCTTCTCCAAAGTTTCTCTCAGTAATGTTAATTCCATCCCGATGATATCTCTCAGTAAACCTTCTCAGAGCCCAGACATTTTTTTGTGAGAATTATTATTCTGCGAGTAAACAATACTTCCATAGAACATTTAAAGTAACATTTAACCTACCGCAATGTTTAAAGTGAACATTATATAATATTATTTAAGTCTTATTTTCGTAGATGAGAAACAAAGTAGATTTAGAAAACAGATATATTCAATTTACATTCAAATTTGCCTTCAGTTATTACAATATTTGTATAATGCAATGGTTGTATTACAATATTGGTGTATCCGTCTGAACTAGCGGCCCTCAATGTATGATGATAGATCTATTTCCTCCGGTAACTCGGTGATATCAACCTCGAACCTTTCTTGAACCTCGTTCAAGATCTTAGCGTCACTCTCGTCGGAGACAAAGGTGATGGCCAATCCCTGAATGAAAAAAGGAAATTAAAAACATTAATTACATATTAGATTTACTGGTTTATTTCAGGTATGATGGCAATGTTGGCACAGAGCGCAATTTCTTTGCGCGCGTTTTTACGCTGAATTAAGGAAAAATAAATGATTTTTAGGGGGATATTAAATTTTAGGCTAAAAGTTTGAGAAAACTTGCCGTTTTATTTTCAATTTTCCCCACTCATATTTAAACTTCAATATTTTATAAAATATATACCCCCGGGTTATTGTGTTACAATAGAGCAGCATCATATCTTAGGGGGAAAAAAGTTAAAAATATCTCTTGCTCTATCTCTAATGTAAAATGGTTTTACCTTGGTACCAAATCTTCCAGCCCTGGCGACCCTGTGAAGGTATGTGTCGGTATCCTCGGGCATGTCGTAGTTGAACACGATGTTGACACGCTCTATGTCCATTCCTCGGCCAAACAAATTGGTCGCGACCAGAATACGCTTCTGGAAGTCTTTGAACTGTTGGTACCTAAAATACAAAATTATAACTTGTGTAAACTGCCAGAACGACGACGAATATTAAATCTTGTTTTCTTGAATGAAAATGTGGCATGACGAGGGAAAATTTAAAAATAAAAAATTCACAAATATTGGACAAATCTCTTATTCTCGTTCGACAATTTATTGAAATTTCTACACACCCCTCCTTAACCGAGAAAAAGATTTTTGAAAACTTACCTTTAACAAGTAAAGGTTTTCACAAATCTTGTAAGTGAAATATTTCCCTAGAAGAAACAGCTAGGTATTCAATCTCAACTATTCTGAGACCTGGAAAGTCTACAGAATAATGCCAAATGATTACTTCATATTGTTTTTTTTTTAATCTTTTACTCGGTTAAGGAGGGGTGAAGTAGGTTCTAGGGTGCCCCTGAAAAAAAATCAGATGTGCAAAACATTTTTTAGGAAGCATTAGGGTAAAACGAGCCCAAATACGAAATTTTAGCTTTTTAAAATAATTTTCTTAAATGGACCAGCCATTTTACTTTTCTTCCCGCCATTTTTTCCTTTTTTCAACAATTCTCGGCTAAATTGAGTTATCGTAGTCAATCGCATCTTTTTTACATCTTTCTTCAGCACTATCATATCTGGGAGTGGTTAATTAAACTTTTTTTTTCAAAATTAATTCCATACTTCTTAAAAATAATTTGGCAGCTAAGAAATGGCCTGAAAGTGTTTTATTGACAAATTTAGAGGCAAATGTGCAAGATATTGGCCAAAAAAATATATATTAAAATCAGTCTTCGGTCTTATTTTCTCCTGAACTCCTCTTGCTTGAAATGATGCAACTAAAAAAAAAAAAAAAAAAATTCTTAAAAAGATGCCCTTTTATGTTGAGATTGCACAGGAAAAAACAAATGTAGGGACATCTTTTAAAACAGCTGAGATAAAGAAATTTTAGTCAACTAATCAAGCGACGCTTAAAACCACGCTTTTTGAGTGACATTACATTAAAGTCATCTTTAGACGAAAATAATTCTCCGAATGGATTATACCTCCGTGGTCTTTAAAGATATTGGGGTTGTTTTTATTTGCACTGCTATAGAGGCATCAAAGCACATCTTGGTAATCATTTTATGAATTAACAATTTTTTTTTATAGGCGACATTATTTCACCAAGCAAGAGGAGTTGGGAGAAAAATACACCGAAAACGGTTTTAAATTACGTTTTTTTGGCCAATAACTTACACACTTGCCTCTAAACTTGTCAATTTAGCATTTTTAGGCAAATTCTAAATTCAGAGTGTTATTAAGAAGCAATAGTATTGAGTTTGAAAAAAAAAATTTACTTAACTACTCCAGGATGGAGCTTAAGAGAGGTGTTAAAAGAACGCGATTTTTCACCTTTTTCTGAATACTTAACCATAAGAAAAGAAAAAGATTCTAAAACATTGTCAAATATCCTCTTTAATTAGTAAAATAATTTCCAAAATGGTGACACATTTCAAAATCCCTAAAAAATTGGACACGATAACTCAATTTAGCCAAGAATGGTTGAAAACCAAAAATGAATTTTAATACCACAAAAATTCTTCCAGATATCTTAATGTACTAGAAATATCCTACCCAGAGATCTTAATAAATGAGCCCAAGATCTCCTACCCAGAGATCTTAATAAATGAGCCCAAGATCTCCTACCCAGAGATCTTAATAAATGAGCCCAAGATCTCCTACCCAGAGATCTTAATAAATGAGCCCAGGATCTCCTACCCAGAGATCTTAATAAATGAGCCCAAGATCTCCTACCCAGAGATCTTAATAAATGAGCCCAAGATCTCCTACCCAGAGATCTTAATAAATGAGCCCAAGATCTCCTACCCAGAGATCTTAATAAATGAGCCCAAGATCTCTTACCCAGAGATCTCATTGAACCCGAAATATCCTATCCCAAGATGTAATTGAACCCATATATCCTTCCTACTTATCTTATTGAACCCGAGATATCCTTACTTGAAGATCTTAATGAACCTAAGATATTCTACCCAAAGATCCTATTGAACCCGAGATACACTGCCTAGAGATCATATTAAACCATATAAAACCAAAAATATGCGGATCCACGGGGTAAAATATCAACCCAAAACTGCAAAAAAAAAACTTTTTACTCCTAAAACCCAAATCTTTACTTTTGAAAAAAGGGAGATTATAAAAATTTCCTTATTTCTGAATGGTTTTAGGACAAAAATAAGCGAAAAAATAACAAATGATTTTTTTTTTTTTTAAATTCAGTTTATCTTAAAGAAATGACCTGGATCCGTATCCGGATCCAAATCCGGATCCATTTTTTTCTGTGCGGATCCAGGATCCGGATCCGCATCAAAATTAAATGAATCCAAAGCACTGCGAGATAGCCTACCCAGAGATCTCATTGAACCCAAGATATCCTGCCAAGTGCCTAAAACTTGTTGAACCAAAGATATCCTATCTAGACAACTTATTGAACCCAGGATATCCTCCCAGAGATCTTGCTGAATTCTGGATATCCCAGAGATCCTATTTAACCCAAGATATCCTACCCAGAGATGTAATTGAACCCAAGATATCCTAATAAGAGATCCAACCCGAGATATCCTACCTAGAGAGTCTCTCCTCTTGGCTCATTCCCCTGTGTATAGCGATGGCAGGGAAGTTCTGCTCAACCAGAAGCTGAGCCATAGCAGTGCAGCGTTGCACGCTCTTCACAAATATAACAACCTGAAATCATGACAGTGAGATAAAATTTGAACAATTTTGCGTTTTCACGAGAGACTGTGAAGTGAGTTAAGATTATCTCTATTTATAGAGTGGAGTTTCCGATTCAGAACGGTACTCTTTAAATTTTGTCTAATTATGGATGAATTATATATAGTTTCCCATAAGAAAAGTGTCTCATTTTCGTTTTAGTTCATCTGAAAAAGTGACTCAACAGATTTATGCAGTACACCGAATAACCTTAAAAAAAGAAAAATCTTATTTATCTTTAAAATAAGGCTGTGAATCAGACACGCCACTGTATAATAGGAGGGTCACTTGTAAATATGTCTACAGTAATTGCTACTCGATGAAATTAAATTAAATTTTAAGTACTTAAGACAATATTAATATTCTCCAACCCACCTGGTTGAACTCCAGTACGTCGAGTAGTTCGAACAGTTTCCTGTTCTTCTCGCTGTCCTTCAGCTTGACGTAGTGCTGCTGGAGACCATGAAGAGTCAGCTTGGCCTCGTCATCAATGTAAACTTCCATCGGCTAAAAAAACGTTAATGCAAACCTAACTGGGATTTACAATTTGATATTTTATCCAATCATAGATTCAATACTCTCCCAGAAACACAAAATTAATTTGAATATCAAGGTTGAGATCGATCCCGTTAGAGTGGCCCCTCTTGAGTTCCTCCAGAGAGGAGGTTCACGCATCACTTTGCTCTGAGTAACCCATCGGATGATCCGACGTAAGAGTTCTATACTCTGGCTCTTTCAGCCCAGGCTCCAGGGAACTTCCTCAGATCAGGGACGGAGTAAACCGACCCTTCTCCGTGGCGTGACTTAACAGGATCAATTCTCAAACCTTAAGTTTGAATATCCCTCCACCCTACCCGATACCCATAAATACTGAACGTTAGACTAAGCTAACCAAAATATTATTTAAAAAAAATAAAGGTCTTCAGTTCTTATATTCCTGGTGCATACAAACCGTGCCGAGCTCAACTCTCCCAGATTTAACATTGAAATATTGATCCGTCAAAGCTGCGCAGTTGTTTCTACGAGCCACTCACCTCCACCTCGAGAAATTCACGATGCAAATCTCGTTAGGATCTTTCTTACTTTTCCAATCCCCAAACCATGTTGGTTCCCCGACATATTAAACCATTTGCTGAAGCAATCTTGCTTTTCTCCTTTAATTTACAAGATGGATAATCAGAACCTGCCAGATGTGTCGTGTGTGATGAGATGCTTGGTTACGTTTGAGGTGCTAAGAACGGTATGATTTGATACTTAAGAGACGAAGACAACGAGCGGATGATTGATTGATTGAGTAATGCTAGCTAGTGACGGGTGGCAGTATTCTGGCAGCGTTCCGTTTAGTTTAGGAATGACTGTGCGAGTATGAAGCTCGGCGAGGATGTGGGCAGGATGTTAGCCAGGACTGGCTTCAACTTTCTCACGTACATCTTGCATGAACTTCTTGCAGACAGGTCGGATTTCCTTGGAGAGGGTAGCAGAGAACATGCACACTTGCTTCTCGTGAGGGGTTGACCGGAAAATCTCCTGCACATCTCGCCTCATATCTAAATAATAATTAAATTTAATTGCGAATTTAAATCTAACAGGCAACGCAGAGGAAATATTTTCTTCATTAACAAATATGTCTTATACCCAACAACCTGCTTTTTAGTGTGTGTGTGTGTGGGGGGGGGGAGGCAATTTAACTTGAACAAAGAAATATGTCTTACCAAGTTGCTCCAGCATTTTATCACATTCGTCCAGGACGAAATGTTTCAAATTCTTGATGGGTAGCTTCTTGGTTCGGACAAGAGCAAGTATACGTCCAGGTGTACCGACCACGATGTGTGGACAATTGTTCTTCAGAACAGCTTCATCCTTAGCTATCGGAAGTCCACCGAAGAAAACTCCGACCTAAATAAAACATGAATGTTAAGTAAAAAAGCTTGAATAACAGTTCAAAAATAACGAAGCAATGAAAAGAAAAATTTCAGAGATCATTTCTCACACTTGTCCATAATTCTCTGAACATAAAAATAATTTAGGTCTGTAAATATAACAGTTGTATATATTGAATAACTTGAAATAATAGGGTGGTAAGTTGGGTTTTACATATTTAAACGGAGACCTAATAAAAAAAAAATTATTTTGAATTTATTCCCCATTGTGTACATAAGAAGTTTCAAAACGTAAGCTGATCTTTTATCAGATATCAATTTTCCCCAAAAAAAACTAGTTCACTAGGAAAAGGGATTTGATAAATAAAAAATGAAATGTAAGACTAAGACCTGAACAAAGTTTAAAACTCTGAGTAGTAGAAGGATTTTAGTCTATTTCTCTAGAAGATGTATATAACTTGTCAACGCATGAAGCTTGAAAGTTTGGGACACCTCCATAAGCCCTGATGAACTGACCTTCATATTAGGAATAAACTTGCTGAACCGTTCATACTCCTTGCTGATCTGGAAAGCAAGCTCCCTCGTATGACACATAACCAATACAGATACCTAAAAACAGTAAACAAATTCGAGATGTATTAATAGAGGGAGGAAATAAGGGATTATTAGACAAGTTTTCTTTTATCTTAAGTGATCAAGAAATTAAGATTAAATTTCTAAAGCAAAGAGGGAATGATAATTGACGAAAATGTTAACCCTTGCTTGATTTCAATTTTTCAAAAAAAATCTTTAATTTTAATCCAGTGCTTAGGATACATTTCATTTTGATGCGGATCCCGGATCCAATCTGGAAAAAAATGGATCCGGATCCAGGTCATAAATATTTCTTCGAGATTTACCGATTTATTTTTTAAACAAAATTTTTTTTGTTCGTTTATCGCTAATTTTAAACCCTATTCTGTTTACTGACCCCCCCCCCCTTCTAGTTGTTTTGCAATAAGTCAAAATTTGGCGTAGATTTTTACACAAAGAACTTAGAAGAGGATTTGCGCAATTATGGTTTTTCTTGAATACACATTCATATTTTACTAATTTTGCAGATATTTTTGAATATTTGAATTCGCTGGGGCAAGTGCTCAACAAATGTATTATTTGTCATTTAGCGCGATTTTTGTTAATTTACACACTTCATGCTAGATTTTGGAATAAATGGTTGGATTTAGGCAAATTCGAAATTTGTTCTTCAGATTTTTGAAGAAGAGTCCAAGGGCTTTCCCAAAATCTATCAAATGTTAAAGATTTGTTTCCAAAAAATAAAATAGAGGGGGGGGGGTCACTGAGACCCATTTTGGGTAAACCAGAGGTCAGTCGTAATAGGGTTAAGCGATTTGCTTGTAATCCATTTTTTATGGTATTTTACCCATTCGGAGTCCATGGATTCGCAAATTTTTCGAATACGGCAGGAGTCAAAATACTGCAGATCCTAAGCACGGACTATAACACTCATACAAGGTTGAATTGGTGGAAAAAAGAGTAAATTCTAAAACCAAATGAACAAATAAAGAATCTGCCTTGATAAAATTTCGGTAAAATGTGATATAAATAAAATAGGCGATATAAACCTGGTTTAAAATTAACTTTGGTAACACAAAACCTCAAAAATCAATTCCCATTCAAAAACGGCGATACAATAAACCACTTCAGAGTAAGTTGTGAATAATTCCAAGAAAGAAAATTTATCTACCTCTCCATCAACCATTTCAATCTGTTGCAGGGTAGCCAGGACAAACACAGCTGTCTTACCCATACCAGACTTCGCCTGGCACAGAATGTCCATACCCAGAACAGCCTAGGTTAAAAAGTATTAAGTAATAAAGATAAATTCACGAAAATAACATGGAATGCATTGAATAGGAGGCAAATGTTAGTAGATTTAATGGGTTTGTTTTGTTATTCACTCTAAAGGGGTCTGTCCTAGTATACGATTTATGGACCCCCCCAGGCCCCCTCCCCCTCCTATCAATTTAGTACATGACCATTTATTTTTCAGCAAATTTATTATTAATTATTTTTTTTTGTTATTTAGGGTTAGGTTAGGTTAAGATACTTTCTGGGCCGAGCGCTGCGGCTAGGATGGGCTAGGGGGCCGAGCGCTGCGGCCACGGGTTAGGTTAGTTAAGACACTTTCTGGGCCGAGCGCTGGGGCTAGGATGGGCTAGGGGGCCGAGCGCTGCGGCTAGGACAGACCCATAATCTGTCGTACCTGAGGAATGCATTCGTGCTGAACCTCTGAAGGATGCTCGAAACCACAATCTCCGATGGCGCGGAGAATCTCAGGCTTCAAAAGAAAATCTCTAAAACCAGAACTGTGGATGGAGACGTAGTTTCCCTTGACTCCGGACTTCTTGTCTCCAGCTCCATTTTCAGTTGCCTCAACGGTTTCAGTCTGTTCCTCCTCTTCGTAATCCAAAAGATCAGTTTCGTTGTCTGCCATTTTATCTTTTATCTAAATGAAACTTAGATAATTGTGCTAGATTCAGGTATATTTGAAGGATTTGGAAAATTGATGTGTTGTATTGGAAAGCAAAACGTTCGCGATTTAAAGATGGCGACTAAACCGATAAATGCTAGAGACGTGTTGCCAGAGTTGCCATGGTGCTGGGTGGAAGCTAATTTTCAATCACGTGACTACATACCGGAAAATAAAACCGGTTTTTGCCGCGGATAGTTTTAAGCGGCAAATTTAAATTATTGTAAAAGACGACAACTATGTCTACAACCAAATTAAGATGTGCCATATCGACTGGACTAACGTCCGCTAAAGCCCACTAAAGTCCGTTGTTCAAAAACCGGTTTTTAGTACATTAAAACATTAGTACATACTGGGTGTCAAAAAAACGTCATTAACATTAGACAATGTAGCACTCTTAATATGGTTCATTTTTTTGGACATTTTTAAAATCATACAGCCTAAATATTTCCGACCGATTCGATTGGGTACAGATCCACATTTGAACTACTGCTGTTTGAACTATTGATCATTTAAACTATTTATCGTTTGAACTATTGTTCAATCTAAACTGATAATCGTAATTTCCTGTTGTTCATACAAAACATTATTTACACATTTGAACTATGCAGTTTAAAATTTTTGTATTTCATGAAAAGCTGGGTCAAACAATCATCACAAAATAGTTTTCACATGGACATAAAAATAATTCAAATGACCAAATCACATTATAGCTCAAATGGCCATTTAAATTAGTTAAAATGAGAAAAAAGTATTTCAAATGAGCAAAACAAGTTCAAATTTTAACCAAAACATATAGCTTTCAAATAAGAAAAAAGAGTTTAAATGAGCAAAATAAATAATTCAATTGAGCAAAACATATAGTTCAAATGAGCAAAAAAATAATTCAAATGAGCAAAAAGTAGTTCAAATGAGGAAAAAAATACTTCAAATGAGGAAAAACAAAATATTTTAGATAAATCAAAAAGATAGTTCAAATAAGAAAATATTTTTTAGCGATCAATTGAGCTATATATTTTTGTTCATTTGAACTATTTTTTGCCCATTTGAACAATGTTTTTTTGCTAATTTAACTAGTAACTAAATTTTTGCCCCATTTTAAATTTTTTTTTTGGCTTATTAGTCATTTGAATTATTTTTTGCTCATTTAATCTATATTTAGGTTCATTTGAACTATATTTGGGTCCGTCTTAGTAAATGATATTTTTGGACCTCTTCCTATCAATTTTGTACATGGCCTAAATTTCAACAATTTTCAACAATATATAATATTTGTTTTGTGTTATTTCAGGGTTAGGTTAGGGTATTAAGACACATTCTGGGCTGAGCGCTGCGGCTAGGACAGGCTAGGGGGCCAAGCGATGCGGCCAAATGACTAATAATATCAACGTAATACATATGAGATCTATGTACAAAATTATTAGGAGGATATATTTAACTGGCAGAGAAGAGGAATGCGCAGTAGCGTATTCAGGGAGGGAGGAACCCACAGACGCCATGAGCCTCTGCTGTGCAGTCACAAACCTCCCAGATTTGCTAGGCAGACCAAGCCTCCACTATGCAGACCAAGCCTCCACTATGCAGACCAAGCCTCCACTATGCAGACCAAGCCTCTGCTGTGCAGACCGTGTCTCCGCTATGCAGTTTAAACGAGCCTCCACCTTTCAGCACAGCTTTTTTAAATCTTGGTTTTTATTTTATTTGTAATCAAAAATTTTAACAATTTTTTTTTGACGTAGTGGCATAAGAATTTTACTAAAGATTAGAGTTATTTTTTAATTGTCATGATTAGAAATATATATGGACTCATAAAGTGGTTTATAAGATTTATACTAAAACTTTAAATATTTCTTATGCAAAAAGGAAGATATTTGGGGAAATATTTCTGAGTAAACTTTTATTTTTGATTTAACAATATTTCTTTGAAAAATGTTAAGATTTAAATAAATGATACAAATTTTCTAGATTTAATTTGAACTAGGAAAAAAAGGGTATTACTTAAATCAAAGATTATAAAAGATAAAATGAAGTTCAATTCAAATTCTAAATATTTTCCTATTCGTGTAAAAAATGTTTAGAGTTTTACGTACCACTTTATTAGTCATTATAATTAGACACTATTTAAGATAACTTCTCATCTTTGAGAAACCTCTCATGCCACTTTGTCAAAAAATTTGTAAAAAAATCTTTTATATAAACTTAAAACACAAGTTTAAAAAACCTCCTGTATTACACAGGCATATTTTGCTGTATTGTGCATGCAGAGGCTAATGGCGTCCGGGGGTTCCCTCCCTCATTCAGAGGAGGGGAGTATATATTTCTCTTGCCCCTCCCCAGGATCTATGAGCATGCAAGGAGGCCCCCCTCCCACGGGGCTTTTAGTAAAGGGTTAAAATCTGGTGGGGTAGGTAAACTGTTTGTTTGTCCCAAGATGAAATGGAATGGTTTTCCCCATTAAAAAGTAGCTAGAAATTTTCTTTGTGTTTCGCGCCATATATTTTTATTTAACATAATTTATGTTTAATATAATACCATAATCAGGGGCGTATTCAGGAATTTGTCCAGGGGGGGCTTATATTTTTGTTTCTTTCCAGGGGGGGGGGGGGCTCAGCACCCGTTTGGGCCTGAAAACCCCCTGAAATCAATAAATTTCACTGGTCCAGGATGGGCTCTGCCCCCATTGCCCCCTGAATACGCCTCTAACCATAAGTATATACAGTGAGAACCAGAAAACTCCGTAATAAGAAGACGACTGTAAGGCTCAAATTATGACTTTGAATATTCCAATTGACATGAGACACAGCATGACTGAGCTGCAGTGTAAAACAGACCCATTTCATTTAATAAGTTAAAATTAAAACCTTTTTCTTTGTAGCAAAATCAAATATATTTAATTATTACTTAAATGTCGTCTCCTTGTTTCGTAGTTTTCTGGTTCGTACTGTATTTAACTTACAATAATTATACAACCATTTTAAGAGGAACACAACATTACAGGGGAAATGAAAGTTCTGGTATACGGTGTTTGATCTTATTTCGAACTTTGATACAATTGAGCGATAATTGAAGAACTTCCCTGTTGAAACAAGTGAACAATCCCTTTAATATATTCTGGATTGATTGTATTGTATGGTATAGTAGGATGTATTTTACATGGTGCAGAGAATATACTTTATCCGGAGTATATATCTAACTAATGGTTCATCTGGTTAATAGATTTCTGCAGGAGTACAGAGAAGGGAGTGAGGGAGGGCAATTATCACTTAAACCTTTTCATGGTTGGATCTCCGGCACTAAGCCTTAATCCTTTTCTCATGTACTTGGATGTAAAAACAAGACGAGAGGAGCTCTCCGATGTCACAAAGTCGCAGCAATAATGTCGCATGGGTTTTACCTTTTACCTTAAGTTCATTGTGGATTGATCTATTTTACAAGCTTTTTTGATGCTAGATTCTTTGTCTTTTTTGGTTCATTTAAGGAAATCAACAGCGTTCAGGCCATTGTATTTGTTCTATTATAATATTTTTAGTTTAATATAACATTACCATGCATAAATGCATTCTTAAATAGCAAAGGTTGGATTTTGCAACAAAAATCTTTGACGCTGCAGGAACCTTTTAGAAACTTAATCGTTTAAATTTTTGTTTTTTTCTTACCGGATCATAAGATTTGATAAAGTAATAAGTTTTGCCCCGCATAAAACCAGATTATTCTAAAAATTAACCATAAGTTTCAATAAATGAAATTCGTATGTAAATTCCGATAGATTGCAATTTTTTAAAGCTTTTTTTACGCATAGCAAACAAACCAAATATTTTTTACCAGAAGAATGAAATAAATGTTTTATCTTTCGAAAGTTTTGAGAAAACCCATTATTCCCACCGCATCTGTGGACGGGACTGGAGGGAACCAGATTTATTTGAAAACTTTTTATATTTATTTTTGTAATAATTCATAAAAACACTTTCCAGTGTCACAACACACTTTCCATTAAACAAATTCAACAATCCAATTCTTTATTTGGCCCAATTTCATGCATTATCCGAAACAGTATATGATCCATTTAAAACCACAATTATGGTATCCAGAATGTGAGTCCTGTTTATGAATGCTTTATCATAAATTCGTCCTAATTGTGAGTCCTGTTTATGAATGCTTTATCATAAATGCGTCCTAAATGTGCGTCCTGTTTATGAATGCTTTATCATATAATGCGTCTTAAAAGTGCGCATTAATGTTGATAAAGGTAACCAGCAAAGAAATTGAATCTTTGTCACAAACTTTAAATTTCTAATCCTTATATCTTTGGAACTTGATAATGTAAACCTTTGAAATTTCGAACTTGGATTATTTAATCTAACAGAATTAATAGTTAGAAATATTGAAAGTCTATGACATCAGGTATCAAAGATAAAGGGATTATAAAATTAGAGTTTGTGCCAAAGACCCAATTCCTTTCGGGGGAAAACGTACAATATACAATACAATGAACATATGTACTTTATTTCTAGTTATATATATGTATAATTTTTTCAGTTCCATCTTTGGTTCAAATTCAAATCCTGGATACAGTAAACAGAAAATGTATATATCCAGGATACAGTAAACAGAAAATGTATATATCCAAGATACAGTAAACAGAAAATGTATGTATTCAGGATACAGTAAACAGAAAATGTATATATCCAGGATAAAGCAAACAAAAACTGTATATATCCACGATACAGTAAACAGAAACTGTATATATCCAGGATACAGCAAACAAAAAATGTATATATCCAGGATACAGTAAATAAAAAATGTATTGAATGTATCCAGGATTCGGTAAAAATAAAACTAAATGCATGTATCCAGGAAACAGTAAATAGAAAAATAATTGAATGTATCCAGGATACAGTAAATAGAAAATTAATTGAATGTATCCAGGATGCAGTAAATAGAAAATGAATTGAAGATATCCAGAATACAGTAAAAATTAAATAAAATGCATGTTTCACTGAAATTAATTGTATGTATGAAGGATACAGTAAACAGAAAATGTATATACCCAGGATACAGCAAACAGAAAATGCATGTATCCAGGATACAGAAAACAGAAAATGTATATATCCAGGATACAGTAAACAG